GTAACACTTGTACTTTACGCCGGTCTGCGAGGTCGTGGCAATTACCCGGACGGATTTGCCCTTTCGTGCAACAGTGAAAACTGTTGCGTGGCCCTACCACAGTTAATGTTCTTCCCTTTTCAATATTAACTAGCTTAGAATCTACTTTGATGCACAAGAATACTCGTTGCTCATGACTCTTTTGCCAGTACATACTATTTTCTAATTTGAGTCGTTCCATCTCTGAATTAAGAGCACGTGCGACGTGGAGGGCCGCCATTGTCTCACGATATTTTTGCTCATTTTCCGCGGCCAATTCTGGTAGTGCGGAACGCTGAAATTATAATTAAAAAACTCTGTTACGAATAATAAATAATATTGAGTAGTTTAATTTCAAACATCGTAATTTATATTTCCTTTTTCTTACCTGCACAACTAAATCGTTTTCTATTTCTTCCAAGTTAGATTTTAGAAGACAAATCTCGATTTGTTGGTCTTCTGGGGAAAACATGACGTTAACAAATATATTATTTTATGTTTTTTGCCAAACCTATACTTTTATCTTAGTATTTAAAAGTATAATTCGAGAAAGTAAATATTGAATAAATCCGTTTAGCAAGTTTCGCGCTAATATTATCATGAAGTTTAAATACCAGTATGTATATATGTCTTATCTATGGTTTAAATTCTTCGTTTCATATTAATGGTAATGGCCAGTTATAGTATATAAACAAAGAGGTTAAGGCAAAGGCAAACATTATAAGACATGATAGTTCATTTAAAAAAAATAATAGCCAACAAAACACTACGCTTTTTGGCCACAGCTGGACAAAACAATATTTATTTTTACTTATTGAAATTAGAGCTTATGTTAAACTGCAATATTATCATAGTCAGAGTAGAAGATGAGAGGTCAAATATTTGAAAAAATTAAAAAAAAAACATTTGGCTCGTGTTAAGTGAGAGGTCGCAGGAACAGTTTAAAAAAAATCTTTATTTTATATATAAACCTAACAATACAACTATCGTATTGCTTCCTGATGATAACGCGTTCGTGGGATAGAGTTTGTTATGCTGACGTAACTCGCGCCTTGGCAATAAAATAAGGTATATCGTCATGGTAAATGTCGGGACGCTCTTTAACGCCGTTTGTCGCCATGGTAGGTAATGTACATAATGTACAGCGTGTCGTTACAATCGCGACAATAAATGAACAGACGTCTAACGCTACTTGCCAATAATCATAAAAAAATATTAACGTTTAACAAAATCCATAATAAAAAAAAATATTTTTTCAAACAAACTAATTAAGTAAAAAAGAATCAAAATTTGTAACATCCTATACAACTCGCGCCACAGCGTCGCATTACAAGCCTCTCCTTCTAACAATATGTTTTGTCTCTTTTAAATTCATTCAACCCATTCATATGCTTTGTGACCTTTACAAATGAACTTTACGTTACAGTTTTATACGTATCTTTTTATCATATTGACTCGGGTCCTTGATTTTATACATCTAATAGGAACTAGTCACAGTATACTGTATAGTAGAAATTTCAACTTGCTAGATCCACTCTTTCCTAGAAAATCAGTTTGTCACAACTGATTTTGTGACAACTCAGAGAGACAGACTGACAAGAGAGTGATCTTATAAGGGTTTTTACCTTTTAAGGTATGGAACCCTAAAAATTTAAACATCTGAATTGACAACCGCCTTCTTTTTGATTCAGTTTTAAAACAGGCTTATTTAAACCTAGCATTGACCGTCGAAAAACTACCACTGGTTGAGTAAAATAGACCTGTCCAGAGAAATATTAAATTTAAATATAATTTAAATAAAAATAAATGAATTTAAATTTAAATAAATGTAATTTTTTTTAATCACATAAGTTTATCAAGTTATTTAAATAGCATCAGTATCCAGGGGACTTGCAAGTGAAAAACAAGAGTCACCCTTGTCTATTCTGATAATTTTATTATATACGTTAATACGTAAAGATTTTCTGGTTTTAGCCATTTTAAACCGCGGTATTTCCATCGTGTCATCACGGCCCCGAAGCGATGTGGTATGTTTTTTTTTTACTTAATATGTATATTTATTAATTATTAATACGTATGTTATTTATTACTTAATCCGTTTACTCCTTTTCCTTTACTTACTTTACTACTATTTATTACTTAATCCGTATATTATATTAATTATTACTTAATACATGCATGATGTTCTCGAATAGGTAGCAACAGGGGCGTTGAAACGTTTATTTGCATTAAAAGATGCCGCATCCAAATTTAACTTAATATTTCACTATGTATGTAGGTAATGATGATGTGATTTAAATAAATTTATTCACTTAAATAAATAAAAGTATCTGTAATAAATTATGTTTCAAAATCAGCAAAAGACAACCGATTTAATTTTTTTCTACATCTTGATAAGAACAACGGCTCCATTACAGGTACTTTTCGATAACTAATACTAAATATCCTAGTAATTCCTTAGCAATAACCTTGAATCAATCAGTTACAATTAAAAGTCGCCACACACATACTCGTAGCTCTTAGTAGAGCAGACAAATGGACACACGATCCGTGTCACACAAACAGCACTTTGTTGACGTCACGTATTGCCTTTGACTGACGTACCTTAATTCCATTCAACTTTTATGAACTCAACTGAAGCGATGCTAGATGATAATTTTTATTTTACTAATACCTACCTGTAATATATTTTAATTCTTCTAAAAAAATATATTTTAACAGAAATACTTCACTCCCCATAAACGTAAAGAAACTTCACCCAAACCAAAACGTAACGGACAATCGTGCTTCATCTTGTGGCTAAAATATAGTGTCAGAAAATTAAAATTTACATTTTTCACAATCAATATAAGAAGAAATACCCATTTGTAAATAAAAGATTTTATATTTTATTCACTTAGTATATTCCTAAATAGCATAAATACACTAAGTATAATTTGCTATAAATGAATTGACAGGTACTGAATGAACCTACTGGTACTGATAGCAAAAATGAAATCTTACCCCAAATTAACTCTGTTACTCATTGTTCCTATGAATGTTGGTGTAAAAACCATTGAAAAGTTGAGGATTAAGTCTGGATAAGCTCTTTTCCGTAGGGGTTCCGTACCCAAAGGTAAAGATAGAACGGGACCGTATTACTAAGCCTCCGCTGTCTGTCCGCCTGTCTGTCTGCCTGCCTGTCTGTCTGTCTGTCTGTCTGTTTGTCCGGCCGTCCGTCTGAAACCAGGCTGTATCTCATGATATATCGGCCGTATTTAGACAGTTGAAATTTACACAGATGACGTTAATTGCTGCCGCTATAACAACAAGTACTAAAAAAACAAAATAAAAAATACAACAGACATGATTTTTTGCCGTATTTATAGATATTATTATGAAATAAATCATCGACTGAACTTGAAAGAAATATGTAGCTGTTATTCGGTACTCAGCATATTCGGCTACTTTTATCCATTTCAGCCGAATACTGAACAGTTGTTTTTCGAGGCAAATAATTTGTGAAAGCAAAATATATTTAAACTATTTTATAGCCTTTATCGCGGGCTTTGAGCGGGGCGACCAAAGAGAGAAATTCCGTAACGAAAATAAAACCTAACACCCCCCACTCCGCCTACCATGTAGCTCGGCCGAGCGTTCGCTTAACGTGTATGTATATGGTACGACTATACGAAGTTTGCACGGATGGATATTATAATATTATATTATCATAATATGATGATACGATATTTATAGGATATCAATTCTCAAATTTGTTTCTTATTTCAGTTACCATAAACCTATAGTTTCAATGATAAAAATTCCTGAATAACCTATACATATATTGAAGGATAATAAAAAATCCTGCATAAATAAATAATTGTAATTGCATAAGTTGATAAAAAATTAGTATACCGCTTTAGCTTTACCGCTGCAGTCCCCGAGTGCCACAGGTTTTATTTTTTATATTATTGTATTTTTTAAACTATGAAATATTTATGCACTTATATATCGTAGGTACCTAAATAAAAAAATGCAGAAGCACCTTATTTTATGCATTTTTAGCCAATAGATTAACTACCGATTTTCTTTTTATGCGATGTTTTTCATTTTCAGACCTTCTTTCCGGATCTTTCTCAAGGCCTTCAACTTACATAGATGATTTCTTTTTAAAGACTATAGTCGATTATTTTGGAGTTTACGCAATTTCACTCAAGAAGTCAAAACATAAATAGTACGATACTGTACTCAGCACTACACCGTAGTGCATAGTAGTACTCATATACTTAAGATGTAATACAAACTAAATTTGCCATAAGAGGAAACGAGCGAGAAACAACAATGAATCATGTAGCTATAGCTATACGAGTTTAGCCGTTAGACGCCGGACGAATGCTGTTATCTAAAATCGGGTATTCGGGTAATCCAGACGTCCTGCTGAATATTCGAAACTCGGAGTGTAACCGAATATACTATTTTGTAATAAATAAAAAAAATGAAAATACTATGAATTTAAATATTAATAAAATACTATGAATTGAATTAATTTAATATTATTATTAATTGAGCCGTGATAGCTCAGTGTCCGGGCGCTCGCCTTTAATTCAATATACTCGAGCAACCTGAGTTCTATCCCCGGTGCCGGCACCAATGAAGTTTTTAACTTTAAGTGCTGACTTATCACGTGCTCCGCGGTGAAGGAAAAAATCGTGAGGAAACCTGCATATTTTCAAAATAATAACAAAAAATATATATATATATATATATTTCGAAGATATGTGAAGTCCGCCAATCCGCAGTGAGGCCGCGTGGTGGACTACGCCCTGATACCCTCTGTATAGAGGAGGCCTTTGCCCAGCAGTGGGACATGTATAGGCTGTTACTTTACGTTACTTTAAATATTATTATATATTTAAGGAATTAACTCTTTTCAGTTTCCTCGTGGACATTATCTACATTATTAATAATCAATACACAAATATAAAAAAAAAACTGTAGTAGACATGGATGATGCAATATCCAATGTCAACCAAGTCACCTGTAACAACAAGAACGTGAACAAAACAAATTGCAAAATCTACGCTTCTCTATGCGCAGAATGTGGAACTGACTTGTCTTATGATTTTAATTTAATATCATATATTAAAAATGGCATATTAATATGTATTTGTACATATCCTCTACAATAGTCGAACTTTCATAAAAAAAATCAATGCCAATTAAAGCCACTACAATAATCATGTAGTAAAAATTTAATAGGTCACAATTTGCTCTGCCATTCTTTTATACAATATATACGAACAATACAGTGGAAACCTAAAATTGAAACAGTAGTTGTGTTTGTATCATAATAATGAAAAATCTGAGGTCGTAATTAGATCATAAAATGGACATCATCTTTTGTACGTTGTCTCTTTTGTGTAAACTTAATTTTGTATAAGAGTACACTCTTCATACTCTATATTCAGGACCGCACGTTATCTGTGATTAAACCGTGAGCTACACGGCCGGCACCGGCCACCGCATTTCTCATGCCTTGCTTTTAGTTCAGTCGATTCGAGACGCATCTTGGCCGTCACGTCATTTATTTTGAATAAATTGAAAATTAAATAAAATTATTACCGAAGACGAATAATATTCAAAACGTCGATTACTTCTTTTTGAGGTTAGTATACAAATGTGACATTGGGATAATTTGGAACCAACTTAAATTATTAAATTTTTTTTTACCTTTCAACGATATGGTTAACGTATAAAATAATACACAGTAAATTAATTCTTAATTTTTTTTTTTTATGTGAAAAGTTGCCAAACGAGCAGACGGTTCACCTGATGGTAAATGAATACCGCCACCCATGGACATCTGCTACACCCGAGGGTTACAGATGTGTTGACAACCTTTTGAAAATTGGGCTCCGGTTACCTCACTCACCAGACGAAACGCGAAAGTATTTGTCATACTTCCACTTTACGCTGGTCTTCTGTGAGGTCGTGGTACTTACCCGGACGGGCCTGCCCATTCGTGCAACAGCCGGGGCTGCTGCGTGGCCCTACCACCGTAATAATAATTCTTAAATCTATGTATAATATAACCTAAATTCATTCTCATTTAATTTCTGAAAGTACTACTTTCGATAAGTATGTGAAAATACTAAAAAAGTTCTTTAAAAAATACTAGCGGCTTTGAGCTTAGTAACTATTTAATTAAATTTTTACATTTATAGCGCCGCTAGCCTTGTAAATAGTTCATGGCTACTTACAAGGCCATCGCTTAAATTTTAAGAGACTGTTCCTCTATTCGCGGCTGTTAAAAAGATATACCTATATTATGAAATTATATGGCCTCAAGACAAGTTTAAGATATTGTATCATTACATCAAAGTTTGTAATAAATATAAGGCTTCTTCAAATAGTCATATTCTTTCATAAACTAAAATTATTGTTATCAAATATTAATGCTAAATGCCTAATTAAAATTTTGATTTTTTTAATTAATATGTACCACCAAATAACTTATTATGAATAATTGGTAATCAATAATGACAATCCCGTAAACGATAGACGTGAATTATTTTAGAGCCATTCAAATGTGCGGCATCTGGGCTACATTCGGCGCTGACGGGGGCTTAAGTCCGACCTGTATAAAATGCTTCGCGGCAATAGTGCACCGCGGCCCGGATGCGTGGCGGATCGACCAGGACTCCCGTGAACCGCTAGCAGTACTTGGCTTCCAAAGGCTCGCCATCGTCGACGGGCTGCATGGTATGCAGCCGATGCGCTTGCACTGCTTCCCCCGTGTGACTTTAATTTGCAATGGCGAGATCTACAACTGCCAGCGTCTCCGCGACCAATACAATTTCCCGTACGAAACGAACTGCGACGTGGAAGCCATCATCCATACGTACAAAAAATTCGGTATAGCCGACACAGTGACAAAGTTCGACGGGGTATTTTCATTTTGCCTGATTGACGGGGAGGCGAAGAAAGTCTTCATTGCCCGCGATCCGTATGGTGTCCGTCCACTGTTTAAGTTGCAAGACGACGGAAATGGTTTCATGGCTATTTGTTCCGAAGCGAAGGGCTTGATAGGTTTGAAGCAAAAAGCCGGTGAGAACTCTAGTTTAGGTCAGTTCCCCCCCGGCCATTTCGAAGTTTGGAGTTTATTAGAGAATGGGAAGGTAAAACTGGATAATACCGTTAAGTATTTTACTCCAGGAACTCCCCCTCGTTTTGTGCCATATGTATCCACAGACGAATTAGCGAAGATGAACGATCTGTACGAGAAGACAGCGTATTTATTAGAAGCCGCTTGTAAAAAACGACTCATGTCTGACCGACGAATTGGATGCCTCCTAAGCGGTGGGCTAGACTCTTCTTTGATAACTGCTTTAGTCGTGAAACTTGCTAAAGAACATAAATTGCCTTATAAAATTCAAACATTCGCGATCGGAATGGGTGATTCGCCCGATCTTGTTGCGGCCCGTACGGTCGCTCAATACCTGGACACCGAGCACCACGAAGTAATGTTCGACGAAAACGATGTCAGTAAAGCGCTAGACAACGTGATATATCATTTGGAGACGTACGATATCACCACAATACGAGCAAGCTTGCCTATGTACCTACTATCCAAGTACATCAAAGAGAATACAGATACGACCGTCGTTTTTAGCGGTGAAGGCGCAGATGAATTAGCTCAAGGATACATTTATTTCAGAGATGCGCCATCAATGACTGCTGCACATGACGAAAGCATTCGCTTACTATCCGATATTTACTTATACGATGGTCTTCGAGCTGATAGAACAACCAGTGCGTTTAGTCTTGAACTCCGAGTTCCATTCTTGGACATACAGTTTACACATCATTACCTCAGCATTGAACCCAAACTGCGCCAACCCCAAAATGGTGTGGAGAAACACCTGCTGCGGAGCAGCTTTGCAAAAAGTGGCCTATTGCCAGATTCAATTTTGTGGAGACACAAAGAAGCTTTCAGCGACGGAGTTGCATCAGTGAAAAAATCTTTGTTTACAACCATCTCCGAGGTCGTTGCGGAAAGATTGACCGACGACAACCAAGAATTTAAAGGTCTTCAACCCACGACCACTGAATCTAAATACTACCGCTACATATTTGAGAAATCATTTCCTGGCCAACATAACTTTACTCCCTACTACTGGATGCCTAAATGGGTTAAAGTATCAGATCCTTCTGCGAGATTTATTAAACACTATGCTGCAAATTAAATAAAATCGAGATATAAAACAATAAAATTTATTCACTAAACCTTTCCTATTGTTGTTTACATTTATAATTTATCTATATGATTAAGACATGGCTTTCTTCTCTCTAGAAGTTTGTTAGAGCATACTTCAATAGCAATCTTCACATATCCGCATACATATAAACGTATCGTAAATTAAGATTATTTAATTTACTTTATATTTTTAAATATAGGTAAATTTTAAAAACTATACAATACGTTGTACGTTATTTTCATGCGCCCGAAAATCAATGGTTATACTGTTTTAAGATTAACTGCTAGATATTTGTACCGTATGGTGTGCATCTGTGATAATATAAAGAAGAGAAATTAAATATGATTACAAAATTTAACATTGTAAAAATTTGACACAGTACGCATAAAAATTTACTATGAGAAACAGCATATTTACATTGTATGTTGAAAAATGGTAGCACATCTGCTCAAACAATAAGAAAATATTGTTTTACTCCATTCCCAGTGGTCTAATAGAATCAATAAATTTTTCTAGGCATACACAGGAGCCGTAAATCAAGGGGTTTGAATTTACTAGTCCCACCGAAACTTCTTTTTCGGAATTAGATTTTGTCGTTTTTTCGGAATCAACTGTTATAATTTTGTTGGAATTTTGGAAAGTAACTTTTTCGGAGTTTCGTTTTCTATTATTGTTATACTCGTCAAATTCATTTGATTTTTTTTTCGCCATATCACAAGAAGACTTACATTTATTCGTGATTGATGTAGTTTTCTCTAAATATTTAACAGATTTATCAGTTGACTTGTCACAACGTCCTATTGAACTTGTTTCAGACTCTTCATCTTTGAAAATTTTATTCAAACCTCCGCGTAGAGCTTCCACAATGTAGCGACAACTGGGGCAAATCACGTCTCTACATACTATGCTTATCAAATTGTTACTGTTTGCTTTATCGACTGTATTAGGTCTTTCAATTTTTTGGTCGGGTGTACTTTGACTAAACCGGCCTACGGAACTAAGACTCTGGTTAACTTGAACTTCAGCGTTTAATGATTTTTTCTTGAACCGTTTGTTGTATTTTTTGCAGTTTAAACACTTACAATTTAGATTGGCTAATTGTTGCTTCAACACGCGTAATTCTGTTGGTTCAGAACTCCAATTTGAAAACTGCATTGTTTAACACTTAACGAATGGCCGGTTTAGGGATCAAATATTTCAAATAATTATTGCGTCATGGTGTTCGTTTATGATTTCAAATAATTGAGCTACATGTTTGTTTTACACCTTATGTGAATAACACAACTTAGAAATGATAAACGTCATTGTGAAAATACATACAGTACCTACATATAGTGAAAAAATGTCAATAGCAGAATTGTGACGGACGAGAAACTTAAAAACTATGTCTAATAACAAGCTGGGATTTATTTATTTTGACAATTGACATCACATTACACAAGAATGCTGCAGCGGGCGTGAAACAACAATAACACAATATGCATTATGCATGTTCGTGCACAATACTTCTACAAAATCACTGATTGCAAATTGTCGTGAAAAATAAAACTAATAAAAAATTACAATGAAAAAGTGTTGTGAACATAAAAAACCCACAACCCCCACTATAAAATCGAAGGTACCTTTTCTTTTTCTAATCCTTCCGTTTTCTTTAACATTATAAATATTATCTTCTAATACCATTAGCCTCATTACGTGACTAGACTAGAGATGTAATTTTATAACAATGATTAATAATAACTTGACGGACTTTACGGCAGTAGTAACAGTACCTCAAATTCTCTGAATTCGGGGCTGAGTGAAAAGTATTCAAAAAAAGCTTAGTTCTCTATGGAAACTTATAACTTATTAACTTTTATATATTATATACAAAGTTGATGAATACCTATCAGTTTAGTTTTCAGATTTAATTCAGATCCTTTTTAATTTTTAGCCTATGTGTAATTGCAAAGATTGCTTTTCTGAAAGATGTCCAGAACTAACAAACATGACCAATATGTCAAAAACTAAAATATCTCAAATTAATACCAATACATTGAAGGACAATAAGAAAGAGAAGAAACAATCTGACACCCCCAAAAATTCTACTAACTTAAGCATGTTGAATATGATAACTGAGGATAAAATTTGTATGTGTAATATTTTCGCTAAGGCCTTCCAATCCGATGTTCATACCCACATAGGAACAAGGATTCATCAAGATAATCATAGTTCAAATAATGAACAAGAGAGCAATTCACAAGATAGTTTGAAAAATTAAAAAAAATGTTTCCAATTTATAGAAAATAATACACAAATTTTAAGTAAAGTTTAGTTTTGATTTATTTAGTATATAAATTATTCCATACCATTCTTATCAAACTGTGACATCAATATAGATTGCAAAAATGTTGAATTTGGTGCAGGCAAATAATTTTTCATAAAAAACATGAGCTTACCAAGATCAATTGGTTTACAGTTTTATTCATTATTCAATAACATTTTCAGTTTTTAGATATTTTTGAAATTTTTCAGCAATAAAATTCCAATATTTACTCCTTATTTTATCATATTTACTTGCTAATGACTGGCAAAGATCCAAGGCCCTTTCAACATTATACAGTGGATTAGTCTCTTCTTTATTAATAGTTTCATTACAAATGTCTATAAGAAATGCTAGTAGGTAAGGTGAACGACACTTGTTTTTGTACAAGTCCTCACAAAATGATGTAACAACCAAATTACTGCTAATTCCTTTTTTATCATGAAACAAAACACCTCTCAAATAGTTCCATGCACTTTCATTGTTCTTCACAAATTTAATTTTTTCCAATGTGTAACAAACTTCTTTTTGCACATTCATATCTGACCAGCCAAGGTGATTATTCATTACAAAGTAACGTTGATTCCATGCTGAATTGTTTCTAACATCTTCCGAGATAAGATTGTCTACAAATTCCATTTCCTTTTCAAACAACCTAAAAAGATTTAAAACTTAACAAGCGTTAGCGTGATAGCTAGTTAAGAGCTGTGATAGCTCTGTCTGGGCTAGCTTCAATTCAATTTAGTTGAGCAACCTGAGTTCAATCCCTTAATGGAATTGTTAATTTTAAGTGCTGACTTATCAGGTGTTCGGCGGTGAAGGAAACATCTTGAATATCCTGCATACTTTCGAAATAATAACAAAAAAATATAATTCATAATATGTGAAGTCCGCCAATCTGCAGTGGGTTCACATGGTGAACTATGCCCTGATACCCTCTTTACAGAGGCCTTATATAAGCTGTTACATTACTTATTTTAACAAGTGTTTCATCAAAACCGAATGAATATGTAGTAATTAATTGGCCAAGCAATGAAATATATTTACTTAAATCCTCTCTACACTTACATATAAACTTATGTACAAAGTAATGTATGTTTATGGGCCATATGTTGTTTTAAATTATAAGTGCAGAGCAAGGAATAAACTAACCCAAAACTCTTTATAGCCCACTGTCGATGTTGCCATGCATGGTAATTTTTAGGGTCTTGTAACAAGGCATCACGAGTAAGTTCTAATTCTAAACTTGAATCTTGTAACCATTCCACAAGTACCCGCCTATGATGCCATACCTGTAAATAAAATTAAGTATTCAGTCATTTTCAATGATGAACTACTCATTTCCATAAATCAAAAAATAAATTTTAATAAAAAATAAACTCATATTAATGTGTATGTTTTGAAAGAAGGGTAGAGTACACTTTAAGTAAGCCAGGACATTACCAATTAATATCAGTAAGGAATCAAGCAGTTAAGACTAGTCATATACAAGCCAATCTTTGATAAAACCATTTGAGAAAATATTACAGTCATAAGTTCATTGGCAGTACTACATACTTGATAATTTTTTGGTGATTGCTTTATTACAGCCTCTACATAGTCAAGTTCAGATTGCAGGTCAGAGCCCAAAGCTTGAAGCAAATCTCGCCTGTAATGTAAAAAATGCAACAAATTATTTGAGAAAAAAATACTTATAAACAAATGCAAAACTTTAAAATTTCTGCAAATTCCTGTGGAAGATCAGCATTATTAAACATAGCCTTGTATTTATTTATTTTCTATAATCTATTAATTAAGACTTCTAAATGTGAAAACTTATAAATGGCTACTTAAGTACTTGACAATTAATTAATCTTAATTATCTTTGTTAATAGCGGTATCCAAATAAAATAAAATAAATAAATGAATAGCTTCCACTTCTTACCTCAAATATATGCTATAAAGCAGATGACTGTAATCCAAAGTAATAATTTTTTTCCAGGTGCAAAATTAATCAATGTAATTATAACATGATTTTTAAAAAAATAAATAAGTTAGAGGAAAAGGTTAGATACCTATATTGCCACACAGTATAATTAGCAGGATTAAGTTCAACTGCATCTTTTGTCAACTGTAGAGCTCGCTCAGATTTTTCATTTTTCTGCAGAATAGCTCGAAAGTAGTCATACACATCTTCAACTAAAACAATGTCCAATAGTCAATACTTTTAACATAATTTTTGATGCGAAAAAACAAAACAATACAAATTATGAAACTAATATTTCGTTAATCTGCTATACAATCAATCAACATAAGAGCAATTTTATTCTTTAAGTAACTTATAATTTTGTCTTATTTTATACATCGGCTAAACTCAAAACATTTATGAAAGTACATGTACTCGTGAACATTCTTTTTTCTTAAAATTTAATGTGTCAATCTACAAATGAAGAAAAAAATAATTTCATGATAAGACAAAATAATGCAAAAAAACTACAGCGAGATTGTGTCACTCGCGAATTTAAGACCAATACTCACATTTCTCACAGTGAGCTATTACAACTACAGGTTTTGGCCCATCATTTTCCGGGACTGGTTTAAGGTCGCTCCATTCTGGCCGATCTTTGTAAAATATCCAAGCGACATCACTATCTCCACTGTCTGACATTACTAATAAAATCCACTAATTCAAAATATAAGCCGACGTATAATTTATAATGAGTTTGCTATCGTAAGACAAATAACCACTAAGCCTGCACAATCATTTTATGGTTAGGTTGAGGACATCAAGCATCTGAAGCAAAATTTCTATTATCATACGATTTATGTGTTTTATTTGTTGTACAAATATGAATATTTTAAAATTGAAAAAACAATTTTGAATTTGACTGAACCTAACTAATTAGTAATTAGAAAATATAGCATGAAAATTTGGTTGTTATTTAAGCAAACGTCATACTCATAACTATCAGTGTCATTTGGCTCATGACATATGTCATTACTCAGAGATTCCTATAATGCCCCACTGGGCAAAGGTCTCCTCCGTACAGAGGATTTTACGATAACAAATCATTACTAAAGAGACACCAAGGGTTGAATATATTTTATGTAGCAGTAAGTACTTACAGTAAACCTACTGTGAAATTGTATCTATTTTTTTTTTTATCTAATAATGTTATTGTCCTAAATTACGCCAATCTACTGGCCTAATCTACGCCATTATGGCATTAAAAATACCACGCTTGACTTGATTAAGTCATATTTAAGTAAAAGAATTCAGAAAGTTGTAATTAATGGTGCTAGTTCTTCTGGGTCAAAAATATCAATGGGCGTTCCAAAAGGTTCGATTCTCGGCCCATTCCTTTTTCTCGTTTATATTAATGATTTACCCTAATTAGTAGAAAAAAAACATGACATAGTGTTGTTTGCCGATGATACTTCATTAATCTTTAAAATTAAGCGACGTATTGTAACACTTGACGAGGTAAATCATGCTATGTCAGAAATAGTTCATTGGTTTAATGCTAATAATTTACGGCTAAATGGCAATAAAATTAAATATATAAAATTTTCGACACCTAATGTTAAACACTTGGGTGGTGGCAATGTACTTATAAATGGGGACGAGTTAGGCCTTGTGGATATCACTGTTTTTCTAGGAATTACTCTTGATTCAAAGCTTCAATGGGGCCCCCATATATCCAAACTTGCTAGCAGACCAAGGTCTGCAGCATATGCTGTAAGGAAAATAAGATATCTGACTGATGTAAATACAGCTAGAATCGTTTATTTTAGTTATTTCCATAGCATAATGTCATACGGTATTTTGCTATGGGGGCATGCAGCCGATGTTGAAACAATATTTATTTTGCAAAAAAGGGCCATAAGAGCAATTTACAATCTTAATTTGAATGCATCTCTGAGAGAGAAATTTAAAGAAATAAATATTTTAACCTTGGCCTCTCAATATATTTATGAAAATGTAATGTATGTACATAGAAACATTAATAATTTTAATAAGAATACTGATGTACATAATGTAAACACTAGGAACAAACACAAGTTTGTAACGCCAGTTACTAGACTCCATAGAGTCAGTAACTCGTTCATGGGACGGTGTATACGCTTCTACAAAATCCCAGTTAATGTGCAAAGCCTATCTATCAACAGGTTTAAGTCATTTATTAAAGAAAAACTTTTGAAAAAGGGTTATTATAATATAAATCAATACATTAACGATAATAACCCCTGGGAATGAGATGATCGCTCCTAAGCTATTTCTAAGAAAATATATATATATATATATATATATATATATGTATATATATATATATATATATATATATACTGTATAACTATGTATTTGTTGAGTAAAAAAAATGACAAAAAAGAGGATACCTACGGAGTTTCTTTCGCCTGTTTCTTCTCCGTTAGAGGAACCTCATTACGAAACGGTAGTAGATTTAAAAAATGACTATCGATAAATGAAATGTATATTTCTAATTTCGATGAATAAGTGATTTGATTTGAATTTGAATTTAAAAATGTCTATAAAGCGTCAAGTTGATCTCTCATTCTTGTAGGTATTTTTATTTATTTAAAGATGATTTGAAAAACGAATAACGAGCAAATGACTTATGGAACAAATCCTGGAGAAATTTGAACGCTTGTTTTTGAAGCAATGGAAATTATATATTTAGAGTAAAGTATAAAGTAACAGCTCAAAAATGTGCCAATGATGGGCAAAGGCCTCCTCTGTAAAGAGGATATCAGGGCATAGTCCACCACGTGACCCCACTGCGGATTTGTGGACTTCACATATTTTCAAAATGCAGTTTTCCTCACGATGTTTTGACGATGTGATAATTCAGCACCTAAAATTAACAATTTCATCGGTGCTGGCACCTGGGATCAAACTCAAGTTGTTCGAGTAAATGTTATCAATGGCGAGCACCCGGACACTGAGCTATTACGGCTTTCTAGGCGATATGTTTAGAACTATGAAAGAAAATAAAAAATTATCTCGTGTGTATGACGCTTGTCGATTGACGCTATAAAAAGGATAAACAACCTGCACATAAATAACAATGTCGCATGTTTCCCAATCAGCGCAACGTAGTCATTAAATTGTGACGTTTTTAATTTTAAACTCTTACAAGAAAAAAATCAAGCGAGTAACAGTACCCGAGTGACAAAATAATAGTAATGAAAAATTCACAAAAGATGAAAATGACTCGAAAATAAAGGCAACACAAATTTTGTCGCCCTATATAGGGCTACTAAATTTAGACATATCTCCAGTTGCTAAGCCTGTGGCCTCTGCGACACCTGCCGCCCCTCTTGCGCTGCAGGATAAACGTCCTCGTCCATCTTTTATCAAGGCCACCGAGAAGAGACCAATGATTGCATTCGCCTTGTCAAATCGGGTGAAATTTGTCGCAACAAGGACAACTCGAGGGATAAAGCTACAAATAGAAACAGCTGACACCCACCGTAAAGTGTCTCAATTCCTCCGTGAATAGGAGATCTATTACCATACATATACGCTCACGGAAGACCGAATCCTTTGCATAATCATCGAGATGATCCCAGCAACATCCCCACTGACAAGGTTTTTGATTCCCTGATTCACCGCATGACCAGGAGGCGCAAAAAAGGGCCAATCGACATGGTCCTGGTTGAACTTGACCTTACTTCCGAAGGAATGGACATTTTCGACCTTAACACCAACATCATAGTGGAACTTTCTCATAAAGCAACCCTCCCCGGCCAATGCCACAAGTGCCAATTGTACGGGCACGCAGCACGTAACTGGTTCGCCAGGTTGTCACACAGGCGATTAACGAACCTAGTTAATCGCCATGGCACCCTCAGGTATAATTCGGTAAAACACCTGCCAGGCCTCAGGCAGCTTTCTAGCTTTTTGCGCCCCGCCTGGTAGACCCATGGCCTCCACGTGGGCCAAACCAAACCCGCGCATTGCCGAACCAATATACACCGAAACCGCCGCGCAACCGGAATTCGGCCCTCCCACCTCAGCGGCCGGCGATATTCCCTAGGTGTCGCTCACTACGAAACGATTTTTTATGGTGCAAATGTGGCAAGTGAGCTGGCGGATAACCTGAGGTTAAGTGATAACCGCCGCCCCAGATGCGTTGCCACTTTTTAAAAAATGGGCCCGCTTACCTAACGCATAAAATAAAACGCGGAAGTAATTAATACTTCCACTTCAATTTCTGGGGCCGTGGTACTTCACTAGACAAGCCTGCCCATTCGTGCAACTTCAAAGACTGGTGCGTGGCCCTACCATAATCAACGGTGAAGCCACAAACCAGATCCACCTCAGGGAGACTCACTACTTGTAAGACCTAGCTTTCCTGGCTCCCTCTTAGCAGCGGACTACGCCAAGTCTGTACGAGCGGTAGCGTTGGTAAGAGTAGCCAAAAACTAAGGTGGACTTTATGTTCCGATACACCTTACCTGAAACAGCCAGCGACGGTAGATTCGTGAAAGTGGGTGAAAGTGTTCCCGTGGCTCTGCCCAAGGTGTAACATCGTAACTATTTCACTCTGTGTAAGTCCGACGTAGTATGTCCTTGCCCTAGTAGGGATTTCCCCCCAAGTGTGGTGGCAGTGAATATTGAGCATGCAAGCAAATCCGATTGGTTGCACTATAGTGGATATGCGCAAACATTTTTCCACTTATGCCGCGTTTTGATCTAGATATGCTTTAAAACATGTAGAAAAATGTATGTATGTATGTTGATAATTATGCTTTGTCATGCGGTGAACTAGATCGGAGGACAAGAATGTTTCAGATGAGGGGCTAATTGTACAGTGCGCAAGAGGCTAATAAGTAGACGTAAGCCTACAAATTATTGTAAAAAATACCTCTGTTGAAATTTATTGCTCGTATTATATTCCGAAGCAATTGAGGAGGTTAATCGAGTGATAGCTTGTCGAGCAATTTGTGTAGTATATTCGGATTTAGGATGCCAAAAAGTGGCTATGGCTTCTTTCCAGTCATTCGTAGCTAGCTAGCAAGCATTTAAGCGGACTCGGAAATACTTTTAAAATATTTATTATTAAACCATTGAGCGAAAGCGGATTGTGAATCTTTTATTTTAATATCTTCGACAGTGTTAAGAGTCACTAAAGTAAAGTAAAGTAAAGTAACAGCCTATACATTTCCCACTGCTGGGCAAAGGCCTCCTCTATACAGAGGGTATCAGGGCATAGTCCACCACGCGGCCCCACTGCGGATTGGCGAACTTAATATCTTTACATTTTTTTTGTTATTATTTCGAAAATGTCAGTTTTCCTCACGATGTTTTCCTTACCGCGGAGACGTGATAATTCTTAAAGTTAAAAACTTCATTGGTGCCGGCACCGGGGATCGAACTCAGGTTGCTCGAGTATATATTGAACTAAGGCGAGCGCCCGGACACTGAGCTATCACGGCTCTTGAGTCACTAAGCTTGCCCTAATGGGTCGCTTTCCAGTGGTAATACATTATCTCAATCACGTTCGTTCCTGGCTTTCCCGCGAGCATTTAGAAATGGCGTACAGTTATAATCATAAAATCATTATGATTACAACGTACGCCATGCTCCGAGGTCTTCAACAAGAATCATAAGTGTGTAGGCTCAAGGCCCTAGATCTGTTTATGAAAGTATTTTCACTGGCGAGAGACAATAATTAAAATCTACAAATGGCTTATTATCTTACAAAGCGTCCTCTGGACAAAGGTGAGTAAATGTTTTAATAATTTATTAGTAAAAATATTTTCACATTATATTTATTAAGAAAACAATTACATTTCAATAAATAATGCTAACAGCTATCAGGTAATAAATACAGAGGAATCGTTCTTTATTTCACTAAGTTCTTAATATAATAACACTGTCGTCAATGCCGATCGCTTCGCATTACCAGCTGTATGCTAGGCCAAGACCATTGGTGTAGGTCATGTGGGACACAGCTGGTGCAGCTGAGTATGCCACTCCCAGGAGCCCACCGGCGACCTGAAACATTGTAACATATCACGGTATTGCCGTAGTAACCAATAACAACTTTTTGACATTTACTTATAAACTTTGAAATCAAGTTATTTATAACCGTTACCGCCTTGCATTTAATGTCTTTTCCACAAACAAATGCCCAGTTTCCGAAAGGCCAATCAAAGCAGCAATCACATAACACTATGTCAAAAACGATCAGCTGTTAATCTCTTGTTTAACTGCCTTGGGTTTCTGGAAGGTTTGTTCAAGAAAAATTAGCTAATCACTGTATAACCAATGATAAGAATGAATTGAATGATTTACTTCAACTAACTCTTTCTATTGTATAGCTGTCCCTTTTTAAACAAAACTTAAATTAACGTCACTATCCAGTCCTGTCATCGTGTGATTGCCAACGTAAAAATCCGAGCTATAATAAAATTTAATTTATATAAATACATGCAAAATGTCAAAAAAAAAACTTTACAGAACGTGAAAAAAATGAACTTTTATCCATAATAAACAAGTTAGTATTATAAAAAGAAAGAATCCATATTATTTATTAACTTTTGAATTGCATTTTGTATTTTTTCTAATCACATGATATGTTCGCATAATAATAAATAGGTAACAGAACGCATGAATGTCCTAACAAGGTATTAGGGAATTATGTTTATTTTTAATAAAAACTAAGATTTTTGATAAATAACATTTTTAACTAACGATTGATCGTCCAAATTGACAGATTACTTAATAAAACTTTTGACAGCTCTTTGACCACCGAAAAAACGCTTTCAGAAACTCGATTTTCTGTTGATTGTCCGTTAATCAGTGACTAATTGCAAATCAAAATCAATGTTGTTTAAGACGTTCTAGCAACTCAGATCATGTTAAACAACGATTGACAAGAGATTTATCGTAAATTAAAATTGATTGCGCTTTCGGAAACTGGGTGAAAGAGTATTAGAACAATATTTTTTTGTTATGTTTCTTTTCTTACGCTAAACTAACTACTTACATGTGTACAATTTTTTTTAAACAGTGACCTTACTTTAGGATATCGTTATCCTTTGTTGTAAGGACGTTTTACAAACATTAGTTGTTCCGTGTGGGAATCGAACCCACGACCCCACACGCCGAAGCCCTTGGCCTGAAAATTTTCACTAAATATTACGTGAACCTACGATCCGAAAAAAGTGTCACTTGCATTGTGGTTTCATAAACCCACACTATTTGTTTCAATATAATTTCTTTTCCTTCGATATCAATATAAATGCACTGTAACTTGCAAAAATTGTTAGATAAGTATCTAGTGTACTGAACAGGAATTTATTATAGATTCTACAAAGACAAAAAGTAGACTTGTTTAATTTTTTATGATAATTCATATTTTCACTTACTTTTAATCAATATCCAGAATTTAAATACCACTTACTTTGGCTACGGGAGCGGCTAAAGGTGCTGCGACGCCATAGTGCGATATGTAAGGCGAAGCTATTCCATGATAGGCTGATGCAATAGCTACCCCAGGGTTGCTAATTCTTACATCAGACTTACGCACGCTGGAGAACGGCGTGTCAACAGCCTTTGAGAACGTCGAAACCTTGGAGAAAAAAGAGCCGTAAACAGTGTATCTATAAAGACTAGGAAAATCATTTTCTGAACGAAACTAATTTTACCGATTTTACTTAAGTTTAAATTCTCGACTTATCGAATGATTCGAAGAATTCACGTTCACGGCATGGATTAAATGAAGGCAATTCGCCATTCAGAAAGTCCATTATTGCCAATACTTTTCAAGTATTCGAAAACAGATTTTAATTTCAAATAAACGCAATAAAATACGAAAAAAATGTATCGTATATAGAAAGAAGAATATTCAGTGCGCACTCGCGTAAATGTAAAAAATCAACACAAAATACTTATCACAAAGTCAATATGCCGCTTAAGGGAATTTATAAGCACCGGCTCACGTCGTTTACGATACTAACTCGTAACACTAAAGATAAAAATGCGGCTATCCTAATTTACCATCAGGTAGCTTCCTCGAGGATTTTGTTCCATTTGATATAATGAAAAATGTATTTAAAATGGTATTACCTGGCCAAGATTGAACGGAGACCTCAATGTGTTTGATTGTTGTGAGGAAATCGCTGGCTGTGCTGGGTACGAACTATAAGGGTTCCAAGCTGCAAGGCCTCCATACACACCGACGGGCGAAAGAAGCCCTCCAGCATTAGCAGCTGCCGCAGCGCACACCACTATAAGAACCTACGAATTTTCGTAAAAACAATCTATTTAATAATCAATTCATTTTATATCAAGGCATATAAATTGCTTTATTTTAATAACGTTATTTTTAAGCATTTATGTGTGTTCAGTGATGTGGTGCCCGATAATATTTATCACGGATCTAGCAATAAAATTACCTTAAACAATAAGAGATTTTTGATTAATTATTTATTTTTTGATGAATACCATTGGATTTTTAATTAATATTATTAATCAAAAATCAAATGGTTTATGTAAATAAATCTCTAAATTCAAGATTATTAAAATAGAAGCTGATAAAGCTAAGTAGCTTCAAATAAGAAACTGTAACATAAAAAGATGACATAGTATGGGTATAATTAAATTGCGTGGATTAATTGTACACCAAAAAAAAAGAATTTAGCAGTGCTTACCTTCAGCATCATTTTAGTTACACTTCGAAGCCTTATTGCGATATGTCCCAGAATCGGACTTCTAGGGCTTTTATAGCCAGCAAGGTACATATATCAACATACATCCACACGAACGGTCATATGTGTGGTAGGGGCATTTAATTTGTTACAGTAGACACGTATTATATTCAACCACGTGCTTTTTGTTCGACTGGAGTGTTTGCAGGTGTGGCTGACCGGGCAAGGACAATAGGCTTTAGCAGAAATTAATAGCATTAAAGACCGCGCAAATTTACGATTAGATCATACAACTTATTCATGTATGTGGTAGTAAGCGCCGTCCTGCCGAATGATTTTTTCCTTTATGATGGTGTTGCTACTACACAATGTTATGTCATGAACACGCCCTGACGTGCTGCAACTATTGAACACGAAATTTAAAATAAGGACACTACCGACACACTTTACAGGCTATGGCTTACTTAAAATTTGAAAAATAAAAGGTTAAATGAATAATGCAATAGTATACCAGCGAGCATAGTAGCACAATAACACATAGTTATGTTGAATTCACTACTTTGCGTTCCTGTGCCGATGCTGTGGAATGTGTCGAGGAATAATACCAGTACAACAAAATGAAATCAAAGTAAATCTTTTTAGAAATTTTGATTTATTATAGTACTAATCTTTTCGCTTAAGATTAAACATTAAAATTTGTAGAAAAAGTACGAAAAGATTGTCGCCGCTGTGGGAATCGAACCCACGTCTTTGGCACTCGCGGCCTGACGCTTTAGCCACTAAGCTCAACGGCTGATTGCCACATCGACGAAAATCTAAACGTATTTTGCTTGGCGCATCTATTGTTATATCCTTTCCAGCATACAAACAATTTGGAATATCGTTTTACAACGATAATTCGAACGAGAGATGTCGCCATTGCTTTTTAGAAATTTTAATTTATTATAGTGCTAATCTTTGCACTTAAGATTAAACAATAAAATTTGTAGAAAAAGTACGAAAAAATTGTCGCCGCTGTGTGAATCGAACCCACGTCTTCTGCATTCGCGGCCACTAACCTAAACGGCTGATTGCCACACTGACGAAAATCTTAACGTCTTTTATATACATTGTTTTCTCTCGTCTCGTTGGAATTATCGTTGTAAAACGATATTTCGAAATTGTTTGTATGCTGGAAACGATATAAGAATAGATGCGCCAAGTATTGCTTCAATTGCTAAAAAACAATAAACATTTAGTGCTACGAAATCACTTGTCGTATAATCAAAGCCCTAAAAGCTATAGCTATCAGTAGTTTTCTGGACCGCATTCTTGCATTTTATACGTGTGAATACGTCCAACTTTACAGACACGAAACAAAAGTTTTTTTTTCTCAACATTTTGTTTTTCCATAGATATATGCGTGTATTCGAACTTAACGTTGTGTTAAAATTCGTCGCCAGACTGCTTTTCGACTTTCAGACTGGGACTGCAAGGTGATAAAAATTGCAGTGATTTAGTGATGTTAGTGTCAAGTAAATAAAGATTGCAGCGATGTAGTGATGTTAGCATCATAAATATCACCGCAATCTTTATTTCCACCAACTTGTTCTTTCATAACTGAAAGTACTTTATTCCACAACAAGACACAAAATATGAAAGTTTTTGTTCAATGGCGATATATTCGTTCATGTTCGTTTCGAGGGCTTTTTGTTCAGTTTTGAACAAGCTGAACCCCTTGACCATCTATGAATATAACTATTGAAATTTATAAAATTTAATTTAGAGCTCTGCTCGGGAACAAACAATATCCTAATAACAATACATGTCAATAAGAGACAGACAGTACTAGCAGAAACGTAATAAGGATTTATGTCTCTAATACTAGCTCCAACGTTTACAACTAGGGGTAGACATGAACTGCCAATACAACATTTAGGTGAGTTTATTACGTCCCAAACCTTCGGTAATGAGACTGTCACCGAGCGTTGGGTATATACCTATAACAGAGTGATTGCGATTAATAAATGCTGAATAGCCATGATCGATTGCTTTCTATGGTTAATTCAATTATATTTAAAAGGTAAATAATTTTAGATAGAAATAAATTCTGCAAAAATTTCAAGTGGCGGCAATCCATACTTGGCAATACACACTTGGATTACCTTTGCCCAGGATTATGTCTTGTATTACTAATACATAAGTTCCATCACAATAAGATACTATGAATATGACAAAAAATCAGTTACTCATTAAAATTTTGAAATAAAATTCATTTTTATCTGAATTTTTCATGACACAAAGAGGCGTAATCAGCTAAATAATTTTGTTTTTTTTTTTTTTTTTAATGAAAAAAGTAGGCAAACGAGCAAGCGGGTTACCAACATCGGATGAATCACAATTGTGTTGCCGGCCTTTAGTGTAGGAGTAGGCTCTCTTCTTGAAGTTCTCGAAGTAGTCTCGGAAATACCTCTGGCGACAAGCGGTTCCTCAAAGTAGCGGTGAAGGGCAGAAAATTGCGTGAAAAACGCACACTGGTGGACCGCCAATCATCAAGTTTGTGTCGATGGTAATTAGTGAGTAGTAAGATGATGAAATCCACCCGCAGGTATCAATCTGAACAACTCCTCAGAGCACTCCGTGGTATATTCGATAGATGCAAAGGAATGCAACATCATTTCGCAAGGCCAAAGCGTCGAGGCGATCGGACAGGATCTAATCGTCAACGATTCGAGCTTCGTTGGATATTTATGTTTATAATTTCTTACTTTCACTGTGTACGTCTAGGACACAGTCAAGTAATATATAGAACTGGGACGACTCCATGTCACACTCTCAATTGCCAATTATTATTAGATAAATAAAATTTTATCTGTGTCCACAATGCGTTGATATTTTTAAGTTATTAAATATTTTAAGGACAGTATACTGTGGTTCTACCACACTGCAGCTATTCTCTCGACTTCTATAGACAAGGTAGTCCAGGAAAATACGATGGCTTCCGTCGAGTAAGCAATACAAACGGGGCCCATTCTTTTCGGAAGGTTGACAACTCAATTGCAAGTACTAAACAAATACAAATATAAAGTAAAATAATTGTATATATTAATGTCGTAAATGCACTGATAAATCAGAGTCCAACTTGTCAAGAAACCCTTAAAAAATCTAAGAAATCTAATCTTGAAATATGAAAATAATGTTCTTTTCTTACAATATTGATTATTGATGTAAATAACCTACTAAATGTGTTGTCCCTTTATCAAACACTAGATTTACGCCCACGGCTTCGCTCGCCTTGAAGCCCTTAAACTCTTTACAATATCTTTCAACCCTTAACAAAACTTTTTTCCCATCAAAAAATAGCCTATGTCCTTGCTTAGGCTCTAGACTATCTGTGTACCAAATTTCATTTAAGAGAAAGAAGTTTGGGAGTGAAAGCGAGACAGACAGACAGAGGTAATTTCGCATTTATAATATTAGAATGGATTGGTAAGTTTATCATATCCAGATGCCGAGCATTCTGAACCGTACACACAACATATCTTGATTTCTGCAAGCTAAATGCGGTCATGTTCATACCAAACGGATATGTTCTAAGGTGGGGTCAGATAAGTCAAAACTTTCATAGGACTTTAGTTTCTTTAATAGTTTTATCGATGGTGCGTATTAAAAGTGATATGGTATCAATTAAGAGCCTAAAACTGATTCATTCATTAATAAAAAATATTTTTGAAATGTGAATTTTAAAATGTTTCCTTTTCAGTCTTTTTTGTACCTAAAAAGCGACTAGTGCTTGACTACTGTTTCACCTAATGCTAAGTAAGATATGCTGTCTTCATGTTTACTGCCTATTTTGTATATGTTTGCAGACATATTTCTGTAAGATTTCTTTACTGCGGAAGGGCCACGCAACAAGCTTTTGTAGTTGGACGAATGATCTGGCTCTTCAGGGGTAGTTCCACGGCCTCAAAAAAGACCAACGTGAAGTGGTATTATTATGCTTTCACGTTTCGTCTAGTGAGCGTGGTAACTGTGGGGCCCACTTTGTTTTAACGAATAAATCTTTCAATGCATCTGTAAATTCTCAACTGTTGTATTTGCTCATGGACGGCGGAAATCACTTAGTTGAACCGCCAAGTCGCTTGACAAATTTTCACATAAAAAGTCACCCATCGATAAATCTTACAACCGTTTATGGAAACACTAGTTAAATTACTCTATTTCTATGGTGGTCTCCCCTTGCGTGGCGGTAAATTCATAAAAAATGTTGTATTTTTAAACAACATAGTATAAAAAATATGTATAATACTTATATTAATAAATAATTCATGACACATTTTTGCACAACGTTATCTTGCCCCTAACCAAGCAAAACTTGTTTAATGAGAACTAACTGATAAACATACTTTTAAGCAATTTTTGTGTGGATGGATCGAACCCGCACCCTCTAGTGCAAGAGACAAGGTCAAGGACGCCAATTGGGTCGTCAGTACACATGTCTATTTTTTTAATATCTTTTATTTTATGGGGTTTTATCTACATAGATACGCCAACGCCATAGTAATTTATACAAGTCACATCAAATTACGAATAATCGTTAAAATTATAGATTTATATTAAACGGGAATGTTTGTTGACTTGAACATGGCCGCAATACATGTCTATAATGTTATAATATGTAAACTGCGAATAAATAACTTAATAATTATTGTTCTTTGTTGCACTGTAAAAATAATCTTATTTAGTTTACAAGTAAGGAATAAAATGGTTGGCCTTATTGCTTATGTTATATCTTTTAAATAATAGAATATAAATAGATATAACTAGTTTTTTTCACGTATTGACGACAATTAATGAGAAGAATGATCTAGTGTGTTCACACCTTTATCTAAGAGGCTCTGAGACTGAGTAAGTACTTTATAGTCACAATAATAAAACAACATATACTTTTACCCCTAACTGGGTATACAGAGATATGTTATACTGTTTAATTTACAGAACCAATTAAGTACCAAAATATAATAATTTTGGTACTATTAAGGTAAGAAGTAATATTCTTACGGAATAAAAGGATCCCTCGTGAACATTTATTCCAAATTTTTCTCACTACACATAGCTACACTAAAGCTTTTACGCATATAAATTGTGCGAATATTAATTTATTACTCTATAGAATCTACGTTTATCACAGAAATAAATTACCTTTATTTTCGGTTTTGCATTATACCAAAATCTTTTGTTATATGGCCTTTTTGCGCAATAGGTAATGTAATATAAACATATAATATATAAATAATATATATAATAATAATAATAATAATATTATTATTATTATATATATTATTTATATATTGGGGTGGTGTGCCGACCGAAATTATCCCGATAGTCGTGTCTGCGAATGGGTTAATCCCAGTCAGCCTCTCCAAACATCTGAGGCGACTGGGACTCCGGGACGGATCGCTCCAAGCTCAAATGCAGAAGGCGGTGCTCCTCGATACCGCCCGCATCGTCCGCCGGTTTCTCTCCCTATCGCCCTAACCCTCGGCCGTTTGGTCTCCCCTGCCGAGGGCTTCCGTCTGGTTGGGTCCTATTTATATATGTATTATATAAAACATTATATGTATATGTTTATTTTTATTCATAATATTTATTTTATACATATATGCAATATGTATCTATATTTTTATTTTTATTTATAAACCCAACCAGACGAGAAAACAAATGAATATCACCCCACATAATAATAATAAGCTTTATTCATTCCACATACCACATTGATTAATAGCCTAATATAAATAAAAGTATTTTTAACTAATTTTGATTGCATTAAGTACAGATTTAAATGAAATTCATTAAATAAATAAATTAAAAATAAAATGATAAAAATAATAAATGCATTTGATTAATAGTTGTTTTCGTGGCTTATATGGACCCCTTTCGGGTACAAGCCTCCTATATATAAATAATATAAATAAAAACTAACTTTTAATATAAAAAATAATAAATATAACATATACCAAAATATTTTTTTAAAATTTTCGTGTGTCTGTCCGCCTTATCTCTGAAACGACTCTGAAGATTTTGACGGGACTCTCTCTGTCAGTTAGCTGATGTAATAAGGAGTAACTAAACTACTTTTATTTTAGAAAATCTATTTACTTCAAATTCCACGCGGACTAAGTCGCGGGCACAACAAGTTATTTAAAAAATGTTAACTGTGGATATACAACATATCAACACTTCACATTTGTAAGTTATGTTTTCTAAGAATTATTATAGGTATCGTAAACACGATAAATTTTGTTATTTGTACTTAGCACTGTTTTTTGCTAAAACCTTTATTCGTTATAAGTAGATATGACATTCTTGAATTATTGCCCTAGTTTCGAACTACTTGATGGATTGATTGTGCTTGTTCAAGTTTTGTTTTTATAAAATAGGCCTCGAACCGATTTGTATTTTACGTAAAATAAAGTTATAAGTACCTACTTCACAAATTATAGCTTCGCCTACATACAAGTAGTATACAATTACAGTAAATTACAATTATATTTCAATGCTTTAGACATCGAATTATTACTGTAGCATTATTTTATACTAACCTCTATAATTTCATGTATTATATACATGTTTGTTTTAAACTCATGTAACAATTAAAATCTTGAGTCATTGTAAATTGATTTATTATTTTCACTTTCATCAAGTTCGTGACAATGTGCGCAATGCAATAAATGTCATAAATGAATAATGTACCTAGTTAATTCGATATTATGGCATATCCACGGCACATTCCATGACCTAATCGTGTCGGATATAGTTTAATCGCTGTTATTAAGAATTCATTCCTTAGGAAAACATGTAATGGCCTTAAAATCTATAGAAAGAAATTTACACGGCACGCCTTATTCAGATACCGTACAAATACTTTTTATTCTTCCATTGCATACAAAATTTTAATGATCTTTATTCTAAGCTTTGAACAGAGTACCTACTTTTAGTTCACGGCTTTGTTCCATTTTCAAAAATACGTTATTGTTTATTCTAAGGTTTAATTAACGTTTACTCAGATGGTTCAGTGGTTCAATCCCCATATGAGACAAAAGTGTGCTCCGTAAATTGTTGTTCCTAGTCTGGGTTACTTTGTATCCGCCATTGTTCATGCAAAGACCTCACCACACAGGATTTATTTCCTAGTGCAGGATTCATGTATTTCCATAAATAAATTACTACAAAAGAAATATGTAGCGTAGAAAGCGGGTGTTTCTCACGTAAACGCGAGATTTTATTGTTAAATCATTCACTGAGACGGAAAATAAATTTAATGATTAAGTTAGCCTACGCAGATACGCTTGTGAACGGTTCTAATGACTAGTATGGAGGCAATGAGCAAATAGAACAGGCGTATAACGCGTAACGGTTTCTAAACACTTAACTGGCACGTCTTGGACACTTGACAACATAAATATTGTCCCCATGGAATGAAAGATCTCATGCACGGATAGAAAACGGAGTTAGTGCTGTGTAGGAAGAGCTCACTCAAACACAACAGTCACACAAAAATGTTTTTCATTAATGCGCATTTAGTTTTATACATATTTTCATTGGTCACTGCTGAAGAACGTTGGTATCCTGCGACCATTACGGAGAAGGACACAACTAATGTCATCGATACGAACAAGGTCATTGCCAATAACTTACCGAGAGAAATTGATATCAACTCAACTAAGTTAAATAATTTTTGGCGCAATACAAAGCGGATGATGAATCCAAATTTGGAAAGAATAAAATTGGATTACTTTAATGGGAATCTATCATCGAAAACTAAATACGATCTAATCGGACTTACAGCAAACAATAACGGTTTTAATGAATCGAAAGTTGACTATTCCCGTAATAGCAGGAAGCATTTTTATGCAGGCGATTATTTTGTAAATAGCCTTGGGCCGATACGTCATACAATCAGGAAAAAGTTTCCTAAAATGAGATTTAGTAGAATGAAATCGGCCAGCACCGACGAAACATATCGATCGAGATTTTTGGACTTGTTTCAAGTCGTTGAATTTCGACACGTGGTGTGCTCATCCGCAACAGGATTGGAAGGGAGGTGTTTATATGAATATGACTGTCAATCAATCGGTGGTACCCCTATGGGCACTTGCGCTGATGGCTACGGAATATGTTGCGTTGGTAAGGTCTTCATATGAATTTCAGTAGAACTACACATCCCTAAGTAGTAAGATATGTTATGTACCCGTGTTGTGTCTAGGATCTTTTCCCCCTAACGGTATACATAACAGGTATATTTTTCTGATTTCTGTCCAATTTAGATTCTTCAGAGCAAATATCAATTAACTGTCTAAACTCTCGATAGTCTACATTCTGTTTTGTATTCTAAGCACTTCTTGGCGCCATCTTTTTAGCTACATTACAGTTTGCCGACACTTTCAAATGTCATTTTTTAACGAATACTTGAATGTGTATGATGTCTTCTGCTACTATAATTTATGATTATTTTTAATCTTAGGCTGCTCTCTTCTCCTTAAATTGTAGAAAAATTGACCTATAATACTTACCTTTTAGGTAAGTGCCATCTTGAGTGCAAACTAGCACTAAAAAATCGTATTTAATGTTTATTAATATTGTTAAATTTAACCATTACTCATTCCCAGTTGTATATTCGTGTAACGGTCAAACTTCTGCGCCATTCAGTTGGTTTACGAATCCGGAATATCCTCTACCAAGCACGAACCGACTTGCATGCGCTCTTACTGTGAACAAAACCTCCCAAGATATTAAACAAATACGATTGGACTTCGGCAACTTCGAGGTACATTGCCCTAATATAAAAACATATTTAATTAATTGTAAATAAATGATAAAAATATGTAAAGTACCTAACTGACGAAAAACGTAACAGTGTCCATTGATTTCTGACCAGTTAAGTTTAATAGTTAACCCTTGTTTAGTATAATATGTAAGTCCAAACAAATATACGTAATTTATGCCTTCTACCATATGTTGGGTATACATTACAGAAAGCATTAACTCATTCCATTGAGCAATCCAGTCCAATGGATAGATACTTTTTCACTCCAGCGCGCCCATTCTATCACCACTGGAATAGTGTATTCCGCCATATCAGTACTGGATTGAATGTTCATTCCCAACACGTGTTGTTTTTTTTGTTGTCGATGTTGAATTTGTTTGTGTATTTGTGGGATATCACGTCGGAATTTCTTGCACTACATCAGTTAGGCACTTCTTCTAACAGTAGTAATTGAGTTTTAAAGACTTTTTCGACGTCCTGACACCAAATCATTGTCATTGTAGTGTTACAAATTCAACAACTTTTGAATGACTATGATGCGATAACACGATTTAAAGTTGCAATTAAAAATTACACTTCAACTCAGATGCTCATTTAAAAAAAAATAAAGAAAAGCGCTCGACCGAGCTACATTTATACTTTTTAAATATACTTCAATTTTTTCCTCTTATTGTATAGCTACTACCGCCGATTGGAGGGACATGCGAGCACGATCAATTTTTTGTTTCGGGGCAGAACATCAACAATGTTATACCCATCTTATGTGGAATCAATACCGGCCAACACTGTAATTATATTTTTTAAATTGTATAAAAACCTGTACTCGAGCAACTCAAAATTGGTGATATATCAGTAGATATGCCTGTTTATTTACTGTAACGCAGTTGCATTTAAAAAAAACACCTTTACTCTAGCTAGGATTCTCATGCAATCTAAATTATTAAATATTTGTTTATTATACGCATATAATAACTTAATCTATATATTTCCAGTATACATCGAAGTAGGTGATATAGAAGAACCAATACGTCTTACGATTCAGACAATCACAGCTGAAAATCGACTGTTTTCAATAAAGGTAATAAATACCTTTACGCCCGGTTTCCGAAACACCGATTATCGTAGATGTCAACTAATCAGCCGTCAAATAGCTTTTCAAATTTCATTTTAGTTGCCAAAAGGATGGTTAAACTCTCTGAATTGTCTGAATGATCAGAATGATCAACACAATAAAACCTATGACAGAATCATTTCAATCCAAACAAAGCATTTATGTTGTAAATTGGGTTCATGAATTCAATGATCTTAAAATTCGCTTTTTACGCTGTCATTATGTCTGAAGACGCGGGCTCTACTTTTACTATTTTTATCCAAATACAGTGACGGGTGAGAAAAAATGGACTGCACATTATAATAACAGCATCAAATATGAATGAAATGCAGGTCACATTAGTAATCAACATGCCTTTATTTATCCTTTAGGTTACAGATATTTTGATCCGATAATATGTTAACTTTGTAAGGTAACGCAACTAACAAGCTCAGATATTTCGGCCGCACCTACCGGATGCCTGCAGTATTTTAATGGGCCACATGGTTATATAGAATCTTTCAATTACAAAAACATTACAGAAGCCACGATGGCAATACATCCAAGTTATCTGGTATATTATGATTCCTTTATTTATATTTATTTTTAAGTGTTATACAATGTAATTTAAACGATAATATTCCCTTCTAGAACAATCTAAATTACGCTATTTGTGTAGAACGGGATAGTTTATCTTGCAGCGTTACGTATACAAATGAGGATGAGATGCAAATAGTGAACTATGATACTGGTAAGTCATCGAAAGATCGTTATACTTTAACAATGGCGAGACCCCACTTTTACCTATCCTATATTTTAAAACATTTTCCATCGATGTTACACTACTTAATTTTATTACACGCCGTTTATGATACTTTCGAACATTACAATTTCTTTTAGTTTCCGACGGATAGCTATTAAAAGTTTGTTCATTTTTTTTTTTTTTTTTAATGAAGAAAGTGTTGTAACACCTACAGTTCTTTATAAGCATCGTTAACATTCATGTATTTTCGATATACGATTCATCAATTTTGTTCTATCTATCATCACAATTTAAACTAGTCCGTTTTCGATCTCAGGCTTCTTAAAAAGATCGTCTTCTTTATTGATTGCTCCTTAGGCGAAATAACAAATTGTAAAGGTTTTGAGGCGCCGATGCATAAGTTCAATTCTCGACGGGAACAAATAATTGTTCAGGATTAAATTCATTTGTTTATGTTATACACGAGTAGTGGTGATGTTTATAAATAAAAATGAAAAGCTGAAAAATTATTATCATCAATACTATTTATTATACTAGATGACTCGGAGGCGCCTTTGCTAAGCTATTGGCTTCGGCGTCGGAGGTCGTGGGTTCGATTCCCAGACGGGATAAGTATTTGTGTGACCCGCAGAAAATGGTTCCGGATCTAGGTGTTTGTTTCCCAAGGAGGGATGTCGTGTCGACCCCACCTAGGTGGTATTAGAGCAGGAGAATGATTATGACTAGTTATTATACTAAGAATTTTGTGTAAAAATGTATGTATTAATCGAATATATTCTTAAATATTCATAATATATTGAGTAATTTTTTTTACGTTGCATAGATGGTTTGCCAATTATTCCGCCACGTCAGGCTGGTGTAGAAATATTCAACTGTCCCAGTGACTGGCTGTTGATATCAGCAGTAAGGCTCTGTGGAGAGCGCCTAAACGATGGTTCTGTCCTTCAAGATTTTTATTCAAATGCTCCAGTTACTGGTAAGAAAAACTGGCATCATCATTTACATACATCCAGTTGGTAAGGTTACAAATGTCCTGCTCTCACTGTTGTCATTTCTTACCAATTACAAGTGCACATTACTAGTCACAAAGCTATATGTTAACATACCATTATTTTCTTCACGGCTGTTCAGAATAGGAAACAGCACTAAAAACTCTTCAAGTATAATTTCTATCTATAACTAATACACATAATGAATTTTACAGTAATTTAATTTTCAGTAGTACCATTTTTTTTGTCTGAATACATCTTTATAAAAATTTAACTCAACATTTTTCACTGATTTGCATTTTACTTGTTGTAATCTTAGTCAAAAACTCGTTGAAAATTGGAACTGTGGTAGGGGCAACTGTGGGGTACTTTAACTGTAGTATTAGCTTTAACTGTATTTTTAGTGTGTTGTTGCACAAATGGGTAGGTCTATCCTGTAAGTACCACAACCTCAAAGAAGATCTACGTATCTGTTCATGTGTCAACAATTTATGACGTTAAAGTTCAGAGATAAACAACAAAATATAAATTTTTTCAGATATTGGTGCAGGACCCATAATGATTTGGTTCCGATCAGATGAGGGATATGTTGGACGCGGCTTCAGAATAGAGTACCAACAAAATCCCTGTATACTATAAAGATAAATCATACAACATTGATGTTTTTAACAATGTATTTAAAAAAATATTAAAGTAAAAAAAGAAAGTAAAATCAGGCAAAAATATCAGTTTTTTCTCAGGTGTAATTTAAAAAATCTGTTTGTCAGCATTTTAACTAGACATAGCAGATAAATTACAACATTGAAGTTATATGTACTTTAAAAAATGTCTATGACAAATAACAAGTTCAAAATCATTAACAAAATATGTTATATTTGTATGAAAGGAATGTACAGTAAAATAAATTTTTAAAAATATAAATGCATTTATTATCTTACTACTGAATTGCAGAATTCTAAATTGAATACCCAAAACCAGTTTATTAATTATAATGCTTCTAATTAAGTTTTTTCTTCTCATTGTTTCGCTCCTTCAAACCATCTTTTACAATTTTATGGAAGGATAGTAATATAGGTACCATGATAGCCCTCAGAAATCCCAAAGACAATACTTGTAACAGTACTTGACTTATGCTCTCTATTGACCCACAATACAAAATTGACAGCAGCTTTCCACTGAACCCAAACACCGAGTAAGTTTTTCCATGCTGAAACAGAAATGATTTTACATGATAGTGATAATAACAGCAGTGTGAGAGAGATAAGGTATTAAAATATAATATGTTGTATTAATAAATATTAAAGGTGGTTGGTATAATACCAAAGCATCATGCAGCATTTTTTTGCCAACATCTTCTGGAGTTTGAAGTCCTCCAGATCCAGATATAAGCTTAGTTTCTTTAGGTTTCGTAAGCTCTTCTGTCTTGAAACCCGGAGTGTCCGTGTCAGGTGGAAATGCAAGCATCAGTCTTACATTAGTACCAATCAACTCCATTAACACAGATTCGGCTAAACCACGAATAGCCCACTTTGCTGCACTATAAGCACTGTACCCATATATACCTGAAATTGGAGGTAAGTGTTGTTTACATTGGTTTTAGTTGAATGAAGTTGATATATACTTTTACAGCAGGGACTTATTAAATCATAACCTAATATAATCAAAAATTAATTATTATCATCCTCCTGCCTTTTCCTATAGATAATCTGCACAGCAGCTTTGGCTGTTACATTAATGAGAAGGCTTGTCTTGGGAAACACCACAGCCTCACATATTATATATAATTTTGTGTTTTGTCTGTGGAGTGAGGTAACCTGGACCTACAATTAAGGTTAACAATGCATGTTCATCGTAAGGAACACGTTTTACTAATTTAAAACACTAAATGAATCATATCTACCTAGCAAAGCAGCCTCGGAAGATACAAATACAATAATTCCTTCATTTCTTTCTTTCATCCCTGATAATACATATCTTGTTGGATATGCAGTGCCAAAATAGTTAAGGTCAATCATTTGTTTTATATCTTCAATTCTCATGGTCTCGAATTGACCGCATATACACATGCCAGCACAATTTATAAGCATAAAAATTGGACCAACATCTTTTTCAATGGAAGATAGACATTTTTTTATACACACATAATCTGAGGTAACATCTAATACAACGTATTGCACTTTTTGATCGTTTTTCGACAAACAGCTTTGGGAAATGTCCTTGATTGCATTTTCAAGTTTTTGCACATCACGACCTACTATAGTAACATGTGCTCCGAGCTTAGCAGCCTCTACTGCTACTGCTTTACCGATACCACTTGAACCTCCAGTGATTATTACGTGTTTTTGTTTCAAGTTTTTGTACAAAATTTTTTTATCTAAAGAGCAATATAAGGTTACGGCTAATATACATAGAACCGAAAGGATTAAAGTACTTATTACTATGAAAATCATTGTATGAATTCTGATATTTTACAACCAAGTTATGAATATAATTTGTTATATTATCGATTACGATAACATTGCATTTGCAGTCTTTATTAGCTTATCTTTGACAATCTGAATATTTTTTTCATTTTCAATTTCATTATTGAAGTTTGCCGAAAATCCACACCAGGGCTGCCAACTCTTAAAAATCTTTTTCCCTAAAAGTCATAAACGAAAGATGATATCCCGTAAAAACTTCTAAAGATTTACCTCTAATAATTTTAATTCTTTATATAAAGTATAAAAACTATTGTTAAAAATTAATAGTTTCAATTATATATTTTATAATTTAATTAATATTTATTAATTAAATTTGAATAAATACGTATAAGTTTATAATTATTTATTCCATTTAAGTGTTATACATTCCTTGTGATCTATCTTAATCCTGAACAACCAACAAAACCACAACAATTCTTTCTATTCCGTGGAGAAAGCAATGGAACAACGTCCAGGGTCCAGGAACCACGAATCATGTGCTGCCACATTAATGTGTTTCCATAGAAAATAGGAAAGTTTAAAGCAGGTTTCCTCACGATGTTTTTCTTCACCGCTGAGCACGTGATAATTCAGCATTTAAAATTAATAATTTCTTTGCTGCTGGCATCGGGGATCGAACTCAGGTTGCTTGAGTATATTGCATTAAAGGCAAGCGCCCGGACCATGAGCTATCACGGCTCTTGACTTAGCCCGTTTTATATTTGGAAATGATATCCTACATTTTGGCGTTTCAAATAAATTGTAATAAACATTCACATACTCAAGTCAACTAATAAATATGAATTAATAGTTTAGTAAGTGTGTATTCGTAGGTATTTTATAAGTAGTTAATTTTAGCTTTTATTATATGGTAATTTATTTAACTAACATACTAATGTATGGTACTAAATAAATTCTACCAGATAAACTAATTAATTTTATATAACAAAATCAGTCTAACCAAAGATATTTTGTTATGATTTTCCATGTGTTATGAATTAAATCTTCTTTTTGAAGTGAAACTTCTTTATTGGGGTTGGAAAAAATTTAGTGTAACATTTTTCCGTTACGCGCCATCTTTTTTTTATCTTAAAATGTTCCTCTAACGCCATCTAGTGTTGAATAGGGGGTTTTATGTCGTCTTTATTCTTTAGTGGTTTTAATAGTTGACGCTAGATGGCGTTAGTTCCTTCGTGTGTTCATAGTAATATATATATATATATATATATATATATATATGTGTTATATTAAAGTGATCAGCAAAATCAAAGGGTTTATTTTAATTCTAATTCTAAAATGTAAACAATATATTTCGTATTTCAGTTACCATAAGCCATTAATAAAACAAATATATAATAACGACATCAATGATAGTAATAATTCTATTACAATTAATGATGCTCTTCGAAACCTCGATCGGCTCATGGAACTTGCGGTTGCGACGTCGATCCAACATCCGCAAATTCGGTTTTCCAAAAAAACTTCACTCACAGCACTCGCACGCGAGTCGAATGTCTGCCTTTTAATCACTGGCTGACTATTCGGCAACGAAGGACCATGTACAAATTCAAAGCGGTTGTATTTTGGGTCCGTGAGGTTGATTGAAATAAACAAGGTTGACGTTGCAAGTTTTTTAATAAACAATTTTTGCGGACCCTCATACTAATTACAACGGTCAAACCATAGTGTGTTTTAATTTATTACTAACCCCACCTATGTATTACAAATAAGAAACTAAATATTATACAAAGCTAAAATGAAATAATTGTAGAATTTGTATTTATGTCTATGATAATAAAAGCCTTTTATTAAACTTTATCTAATTTAACTTTATTTAACCAATTTCTGTAAAGTTGCATATAGTAAATTATTTTTTTAAAAATAATGTCATAAAAAAGTTTCACTTCTTACGAGTGTACGCTAGTACACGCACACATTTTTTTCTTTTATAAGCCTTCGTTTAGCTCAGCTATACTGCATATCAAAGAGAATGTAATCACTACGTTTATGCATATGATTCACCGGGCTGTTGTGGTTGGCCCACCTGGTGTATTATTTTAAATTATTTTGAATTTTGCGCACGAAAAAGTGTGCCTTGTGTAAATAGGTTCTATATAACATTAAAGCACCGCGATGTGCAGTGCTATAGTTGATACGGTAATGTATGGTAATTATTATTCATTTAATTATTAAGTTACTGGATTTTATTAAATTAAGGGAAGAAAGTGGGGAGGAATGTCCGTCGGTGAAGATAATCTATATCTTTCCACTTGCTCATCCGCTGTGGACAGTTTGTTTTTTTGTTGCTGTAGTGGTTTGGATACTAGGCGAGCATTAAAGCTCGAGGCTGTTGGCAAGGCATTCGGCCTTCTCATCGTCTTCAAACATCATTTACTTTTTTTTAACTTTTATCCGTCTTCAAAGAATGCACTCTTTGAACTCTCTGGGGGTGGCACATCCTGGCGTGATTTGCGTCAGTCTAATATAGATCAAAAACGGTTGACTGAGTTTTTCTCCTGGATTAGCAATCTGAGGTTCTACGGCAATTCCAAACAGCGATCATTCAATACTACGATTCACTTGGAAAAGTGTCTGACGACTGTTTGCGGTTGAGGGACGTGAGATTTCAGATCGCCGCGAACGTGGTCTCTACTCTCACTTAGCGGGGATTTTAGCGTTTTTCTCGTGCATTACAGGTCCTTGCCTAACTTTACCCTGGTAGTCACAATCATGGCTGTAGAGATCGTTGTCTGGGCGGCCTAATACAATGACTATCATCTAAAATTTCTGGATTTTGATTGAGATTCAGTTGGGAGTCACCTGTGGTAAGGCCAGTAACTTGTTCTGTTGCATAATTGGGAAGGCTTGTCTGGAGAGTAGCACGAACTCGCAGAAGCGACCTGCATGAAATGAAAGTATAATACTTTCACGTTTCGTCTGTTGAGTATGGTACCCGCTTTTTAAAAGGTAGTCAACACATCTACAAACCTTCGCGTTTAGCAGATGTCCATGGGTGGTGGCAACATTTCAAATAAAAAAAATATCCTGGTAGTTTCCAGGGGAGCTAAAAGAGCCAAAACCAATAGCACGGTGATTTTTTAAAGGCACGAAAATTATTAACATTTATGCGATGTATTTTTAATGGTGCTCAAAACTTTATTTGTCATAATTATAATGTCATGCTAGTAGTTGTCACTGCTGTCAATACTAGTCTCTAATGACAGACAGTAAGTATATTGATTCATCGTTTACATCTGGTAATATGAATAGAAATTAACGTTTTGCCCTTTTCTAGCAATATTTTGGTATAAAATTTAGCGTTTTCTTACTTGAAATATAAGTAATTTGCTTGTCGTTCCTGTGAAAATGAATTTTGAAAGTAATAGGCTGAATACATTTACCAATTGGCCTTCGTCAGCCCCAGTTGATCCCATAAGAATTGCCAAAGCAGGATTCTTTTATACAGGGCAAGGGACAGAAGTGCAGTGCTTTAGTTGTGGAGGCAAAATTTCACAATGGAATTATGGCGACCAAGTTATGTGGCGGCATCGGACGATGGATCCGAATTGTGCGTTTGTCGTAAATCCTCAACTCTCTGGCAATATTCCTTTGGTTCTGGGCAGAGAATGCCCGACCACAGATGAGTCCTTACCACCCTCTGAATCTTCACCACAGAGATCTATCCGGTCTTCATCTAATGATCGTCAAAATGACTTGGAATCTACTCAAGACTATGGACTTACAGATGAAGATGAAATGTATAAAACAGATATTCTACGGCTACTATCATTTACAAATTGGACTGTGAGGCTTAAAAATTTTAAAAATTACTAATGTGGTCATGTTAATTTAAAAGCTTTCATATGTTTATCATTGATTGTTTCTTCAATTTTGTAGGACAGCTCAGTGTCTCAAGAAGCATTAGTAAATGCTGGATTTTATCATGCGGGTGAAGGTCGTCTCCGATGTGCTTGGTGTGGAGGAGAGCTAGCACCCTTTAGAAATTTTGGATCTTTAGGGTCTCCACTTGAAGTACATAGAATGCAAGTTTTAATTCCATTTTATTACTTTGTAGTTTCATTTAGGGAAAATTTCCATTACTTAAATGGAGACTGATAATGATTCTACATAGATGATTGTATACTTTCCATGCTTGTTTGCAGATTACTAACGTCCATATCCAATTTTAATTGTAAGGATGTATATTGCGATGAGTCAAAATAAGTAAATTATACAACAGAATTGTTTAGATTAAAATTGAAGATCTTAAATCCCAACCTCATAAAATTGTAATGTGCCTTGACTTACAAAATATAATTTTTTTTGTCTGTTAATAGGGACTTTTCGCAAAATAAAATACAATGGATTATTATTATTATTATTATTTAAAATAAATTTGTGGCACAGTTGCCAAGATATTGATTTCGGCGCCAGGGGTTGTGGGTGATATTGGAATATATTTATCTATTTATTATTTATTTAGTCTTTATTGCATTTCCTTTAATACGGAACACAATAGGCGGACTTAATGCCTCAAGGCATTCTCTGCCAGTCAACCTATGGTGTGGTGAGATCTTTAGGCAGGTGCAATTATAAAACTAACTAAAATTAAATTGTAAAATAATCAACCAAAATAGTAACAAATACTTTAAATACAAAATTATATAAAAATAAACTACTTACTATAAGTGTTGGAACACAAGACAACTATTTGTGTGGACCACAGATAATAAAAATCCCTAAAACATCCTTATAATACAGGATAATGTTATCCAACAGTAAGGGGAAATGTTTTTGAAGGTAAGACTGTAATAGGTCTTTTACATCTTCGTTGTTTGTTGGGACTTAATACCCAATCCCTTCCACACCAAACATAAAATGGTAATGAGGAACAAAGTAGTGCATTGTAGTTGATGTTATATTGTCAACTAAGTAATGCTTAACTAGTTTTTATTGTACTAAATGAAGGCACATTATAATGAACAGTAATCTTAGTTATTGATGTTTGTGTTGATTATTGTTAAACTATGCTACACAAATAATTTTATTCAAGATAAACTAGTTTCCATGTTGACTTCTTGTTCAAATATTGTGCAGGCAGATTTTTTTTATTTATTGTGCAATGTGGAAAGAGAGTATCAGCAAAAAAATTATCAAATACCGTAAACATAAAACTCGACATCTTCATTTATCATTTCACTTTATTTAATAACATTTGTAATGTCTGATATTTTAATATTGCTGTTATTTTCTTTTCATCGTGTTATTGTATATTATTTATATCTAGTATTATATTATATCTCTATTGTATAATATAAATAATGATGTTTTTTTGATTGTAGGTATTTCCCCCGTTGCTTGCATGCCATTGCTCTAGAGACGGCTCAGCGGAATTACGACTCCACGATAATACCTACCCGCGCCACCTTCAGTCCAACAACTACAAACGAAATATCTGACAACCAACCGCAATCGTGAGTAATTTCTGCAGGTTGACATAGTTTATTCTATTCATGAAATTGAAATAGTTCAAAAGTCAATTGTAGTTTCTTTATATGAGAAAGTGGCAAACGAGCTGGCGGTTCACTTGATGTTAAACGATAACCGCCGTCCATGGATATTTGCAACACCCGTAGGGTTGCAGATGCGTTGCCACAGTTTTTTTAATGAGTGGGAACCTGCTACCTCACGCACAAGACGAATTGCAGAAGTTTAACACTTCTACTTCATGCCGATCTCCTGTGAAGTCGTTGTACTAAACCAGATGGACCTGCCAATTTGTGCAACAGAGAACGGTGTTGCTTGGCCCCACCACAGTACTTTCAGCGTTTCAATTATTTTATATTGAATTCGGAACAGTATAAATTTCAGACTTATAATGTCCCTCAATTGTTCCTGGCGTGCGACTGATGATCGTGACCTGTGAAATGTTTGGGATTACAATAATCAATAAACTCGCTCAACCAAACTGGCTCACTTCACATATCTTCGAAATATTTTTTTGTCATTACTTCGAAACCGCCGAACACCGCTGAGCACGGTCAATGGTGCCAGCACGGGGGATCGACGTAATACACGTGTAAAACGCTTCCACTTTGCTTGGGCCTACTGTGCGGCCGTGAGACTTCCCTGAACGAAAGGTTATACTGCGCGGGACCTCCCTGGACGAGCCGGCCCATTCTCTTTTCTTGAACTATACCTTTTTTTTCTTTTTTTAATGTGAAAAGTTGCCAAACGAGCAGACGGTGCACCTGATGTTAAGTGAATACCGCCGCTCATGGACATCTGCTACACCCGAGGGCTGCAGATGCGTTGACAAGCTTTTGAAAATTGGGCTCCGGTTACCTCATTCACCACGAAACGCGAAAGTATTCTGCCATACTTCCACTTTAAGCTGGTCTTCTGTGAGGTCGTGGTACTTACCCGGACGGGCCCGCCCATTGGTGCAACAGCCGAGGCTGCTGCGTGGCCCTACCACCGTATATACTGTATGGATACGATCGCTAATCAGCTCGGGTGCCGCGCAAAACGCTCGCGTTGTGGCGGCGGGCAGCTCGTGGCGCGCTTTGGGCGTGGTGGGGGGCGGGGCGAGGCACGCCGACTACGCCGCTCTGGCGACGCGCCTCCGCACTTTCAGCCACTGGCCGGCCGACCGGCCACAGCAGCCCCGGGCTCTGGCCGAGGCGGGCTTCTACTACACGGGTGTCGATGACCAGGTACTGTTGACTGTACAGCCGCGAATAGGGTTGCCTACCATACTTTATAATGACGTATTCTACTTTATTTTTGGGCAAACAAACTTTATACTTTTGCATTGTTTAATTAGACATTAACAATGTTTATATCGCCCCTTATTCACTTCCGCACTCCTTTCCTCGAATTAGAAATATCGTGCTTTTAAGTATAAATTGCCTAAAAGACAACGAAGAGTCACTTTAGATTGTGCCATACGTAAATACATAAATACATCCACTTTGTCCCTGACTCTATCGGTACTTAGAGACGAGGCCTATATACTAGAACAGGTATTTTCCAATACTCCGTCGTACCTGTTCCAAATTTTAAAAAACTCCATCACCTAGTCTCACTGAACTTGAAGTACCTAGTTAATCAACTGAGCTTGCTCTAGTATATTTCCTTAAAAGCTAGCGCCCGAACACTGAACATCACGGCCAATACCAAAACCTCAGAATACTGAAATTGTTAAAACCTTTGTTAGTTTGTTACTTCGCAGTTTGTTTATTTGTAACTAGCGACCCGCTCCGGCTTCGCGCGGGTGCAATGTATTATACATATAAACCTTCCTCTTGAATCACTCTATCTAGTAAAAAAGCCGCATCAAGATCCGTTGCGTATTTTTAAAGCATACATAGGGACAGACAGGCGGCTTGACGACTTTGTTTTGTACTATGTATTTACGCCTAAGAGGTATATATTCTTACGTTTGCACTTAACACTCACGCGTTTGTTTAAGGTGCGCTGCTTCTACTGTGACGGGGGTCTGGGCAAGTGGGAGGCGGGCGACGCTCCTTGGTCGGAGCACGCCCACTGGTTCCCCCACTGCGGCTACGTGCTGCTGGTCAAGGGCCAGGAGTTTGTCGACTCGTGTCGCAACCGTACCTCCGTGCAGCGTACAGTGAGTCGCTTCTTTTTAACCGACCTCAAAAGGAGGAGGTTGTCAATTCGACAGTATTTTTTTTATGATTGACATAACTTTTGATTTTGATGATCCGTTTTTAATGTGAAAGCTGGTGCTTCCCACGTGGTCCCATATTAATTTCATTGGTCATAGTAATTTCATCTTGGGCTCCGGAGATACTTAGGAAGCTACTGAAAATCAATTATAAAACGAATTAAGTTAGTAGAAAAATGGTTATTTTTCTATGTGAGAAAGTGGCAAACGAGCTGGCGGTACGACCTGATGTTACGTGGTAACCGCCTACCCACGGACAATTGCAGCTCCCATAGGGTTGCAGATGCGTTTCCACCTCTATATAAAGTGGGCCCCGGCTACCTCGCTCACCAGACGAAACGCAGAAGTGCAACACCTTTACTTCACGCCGGTCTTCTGTGAGGTCGTGGTGCTAACCCGGTTGGACCTGCCCATTCGTGCAATAGCGAACACCGTTGCGTGGTACTACCACAACAGCTTCGCACTGTTGTGGTCCTACCATCACTATATGTCCATCCGATTCACTGTGCAGCTCAGAAATTGCTCTCCTGGGCTGGGAGCAGAGCTAAGGTCCGTCGGTTTTAGAAGTGGATAGTGGTTACGCAGCTGTTGGGAGTGGGGTCCCCGATTGCTTATTTTTAGGGACCCGATGTGATGTAGGAGGAGTTTATCGTGGGAACTGGGGTAGGGTACCGGTGCCATACATAGGAGGTACTCGAGTCCTCCCCAACTTATTTGTGAAGGTATCCCTCTATGAACACGTGTCGCCCCTACCTCTTATTAAGATACCGTCTGAAGAAGGATAAATAACCAAAAAAAAAAGGCAAAGTATTTGAGTGCAGATTTTACATCCATGCAGCGTGGTTTCGGAGTATTTTCGACCCGTCGCGTTGTATTAAATGCAAATGGCGACAGTACTCAAACACCAAGTTTGTGTACTATTATTCATATTACCTAGAAACTAAAAGTGATTACCACCCAAACATGACTAAGAATATAAAACAGAAAAATGTCAGTCAAGTAAAAATATTTTTTATTAGTCATTTTATCTTGACCCATTTGTGAATTTATTGAATGAAATACATACCTGTTGAGTAAAAAGTAAAGTAACAGCCTATACATGTCCCACTGCTGGGCAAAGGCCTCCTCTATATAGAGGGTATCAGGGCATAGTCCACCACGCGGCCCCACTGCGGATTAGCGGACTTCACATATCTTCGAAATATTTTTTTTTGTTATTATTTCGAAAAGTCCGGGCGCTCGCCTTTAATTCAAAATACTCGAGCAACCTGAGTTCGATCCCCGGTGCCGGCACCAATGAAGTTTTTAACTTTAAGTGCTGTCTTATCACGTGCTCCGCGGTGAAGGAAAACATCGTGAGGAAACCTGTTGAGTAATGTGAACTATTTAATCTTTACATTAAGGAAAATGTTCTACTAAGAAATATAATATAAAGCCGTGATTACATGTACGGGCGCTCGCATACAAATCGTTAATACTGGAACAAATTAAGTTCAAATCCAGGGGCCGTCAACGAAATTTTTATAAATCCTAACAATTAAACAAAACTTTCAGAGATATTTTAAATCTGTCAATTTTTGACTCGATAGCCTAGTTTGTAAGCTATTTGTTTAGGCGCCGAGGGTCGTGGGGTCGAGTCCCAATACTATTTAGGTACAACAATTATATGGGGCTCACACGAACGCTACTCGTAGTATTTAAGTAACATATTTTTTAAAAAAATTAAAAAAAAATAACATATTTTTGTTCCAAACAAGTGTTGCCTTGTTGCAAAAGGAGTTGCAGCGAGCTAAAAAATTTTTTTTTACATTCGGGCCCACACAAAAAGCATTCCGAGTTTCTAAAAAGGCCTTTATTCTATTATGGTCCTGATTCAATCACTTAATTATTTATATCAGACCATTCTAAATTTACATTCGCGATTATATTTGCATATGATTATACTTGAACAATGTAAATACGACTTTGATTTTTCACACTGCGCGTTCACAAACGGATCTACAGACGTGTAGTGCGTCAATGTAAACGATAACAAGACCACCTTAAAACGTCATACCGTTGAGTCACGCCACACGCTGCCACGTTTGTATGCTCTTTCTTCTTATGCATTCCGATTTTTCAGGTGTCCGCAGACAGTGGCTTGACTTGTAGACGAAGGAACCAAAGCGTCAACTTCCCTATAACGGAGAGTCAGGTGAGGCACGCATATATAGGGCGCAGATTCTTCTATTTATATATATTTTTTTCAAATGGACCAACCGAGAAACGCCGTCCTACATCATAATTGATATTGTAGGCATGTTGGCGACCTCTGACAGCGTCTTATAACTCGCTAACCGGACAAAACGCAATAGTGTAAATGCTTACACCACTCCGGTCTACTGAGGCTGTGGTTCTTCCTTGTTATTCTTCTTGCTATAATAGAGATTTCTATTCGTGGAGCGGGCGCAGTTGCCAAATCTTGGCAACTGCGCCACGGAGTCATCATAATTTTATTTGTATGCTTTCTAGATCGATGAATGTATGGAGAGCAGCGCCGCCTTGGCCGCCTTAGGAGCTGGGCTGGACGCAGCAAGAGTGAGACGCGCTCTACTCAGACGTTTACGATCCACTGGTAAGTGTACAATTTGGTATTTCATTTTTTATCCCGTACTAAGCAACGCTTGTACTATGGGTACTGAATCATACTTAAATGTACTTTTCTTTTGTAAATAAATACAGGTTATACATATATAAACATCTAGACACTAAAAAACACTATGCTCACTACACAATATTTTCCAGTAGTGGGGATCGAACCCACACCTTCTGGCGCAGGAGGCAGGTACACTACCCTCTACGCTATTCGGGTCGTCAAATATTTAAAAATAAAAATTAAATATTATACAGATAGAGGTTTGTTAACTAGATGACCTGGTGGCCCCGTTGATAAGCTATTCGGCGTCGGGCGTGGGTTCGATTCACGAACAGGAGAAGTATTTGTGGGACCCACAGATAATTGTTCAGGATTTAGGTTTTTGTTTTCCAAGGAGGGCTGATGTCAGACAGGCGGCCTGATCGGCGGATGATCCACATATTGTGCCGACCCCACCTCGGTGGAATAAAGACAGGAGGATGATAAAGATGTTTGATAACTAAGACAGTTTTGCGGATTTAAATAGGCAGATGTTTGTTAAGATGTTTTATTGATTTTATATAAGCACATGTTTGTTAAGAAACATTGTTTTGTGGATTTTGTAGCTATTAATTTTGTTATACACTCAACCCCCGACACATGAACACTATGCAGGATATAAGGTCGCTAATGTCATAGTTAATCAGGGCAACCGTTAATTCTGTAAATCAGTTTTGTCCGATCTTCCATCCATATTTTTTATTAAGTTCTGGACATAAATGTATCTAATCTATGTATATAAAAATGAATCCCTATTTCCCTTGGTCACGCCATCACGTGTGAACGGCTGGACCGATTTCACTTTTTGTTTGTTGTGTTTGTTATTATCAGGAGAAGGTTCTTAGGAAAGAAAAAAATTAAAAAATTGCCATTATCAACTTATTTATTTTACGTGCGATCATTCATAACTAACACGCACACAAGTTCGTTTCAAAAGTATACGACGCATTTATGAATGACTACCGCATTGTCAACAAAAAGTCCTTTTTTCTAAGGAATGAAATGGCAATTTTTTTGAAAAAAAATGGTTTATTTTTATTACAATAAATGATTATACTACCGAGTCTGAACCTCCTGTGTGAATTTGGGCACCTTTAGAAAAGCCACCCTGTTACAAAACGAAAATACTAATTATTGCTAAGCAAGCAATTACTTCCAGCAAATTTTTCAATATTAAAAACGAATACTTTGGCAAACTTGAGAGTTTTCCCAAGTCTTGCGAACACCTTTGTTGCGTACCAAATAAACAATAACTCGGAGAGCGTTTAGATTTTGCACGTTTTCCCGTTTCCAGGGCTACCGTTCAGTTCGTCGGAGGCGCTGATAGACGCGGTGCTGAACGAGCAGCTGAACGAGGAGGCGTGGAGCGTGACGCCGCAGAGCCAAAGGCTGGCCAGGGACATACTGGCCGAGACGTTGCGCGACTTCGCACCCAGATCTAGGTGAGTTGGTTAGATAATGCGTCGAGCTTGAGTTGCGAAGGATTGCGTCTTCATGTTCCCCCGTCCCCGGCCGATGTGATGGCGCACCGCTCACCCGATTCCGTGGCAGAGGTGTGTAGCATTCCCGGACAGAACAGAAAACCAAAAAACCCTAACCTAAGCCGGACTTCTGTGGGGTCGTGGTATTAACGTGGACATGTCCATTCGCGCAACGGAGCGAACACTGTTGCGTGGCCCTACCACAGCACTAATTTACACCGCTTCCGCTTAAAACCGCCCGCTACACTCGTAACGGCAAACGTTTCTTTTTATTTTTTTTGGCGGTTATCACTTAACATCAGGCGGTTCACCTGATGTTAAGTGATAACCGCCGCTCATGGACATTTGCAACACAACTTACAAATGCTTTGCCACCTTTAAATAAAGTGGGCCCCGGCTACCTCGCTCACCAGACGAAACGCAGAAGTGCAACAGTGTTGTGTGGCCCTACCAACAGAAATTTTGCGATTCGCTTCCAGAATAATCCCCGCCTCGCGGCCGGCCGAAAAATTTTTGCGTTCGACGAATTTTTGCGTTCTATTCCAGAATAATCCCCGCGTCGCGGCCGGGCGAAGAATCGGAGAGCAGATCGGAGTCGGACAGTCCGTCGCCGTCGCCGATCCACGTCGCGGGGGGTACCGCGAGGGTACAGCCGCCCGCTCAGCCCGCGCACCCTACCCCGGTGCAGGCGGAGCGCGTGACGTGCGCGAATAACGACAGCACCTGCGTGCGCGACCCTAGCCCGGCGCCGAAGAAGCAACTGACCCTGGAGGAGGAGAACAGGCAGCTCAAAGAAGCGAGGCTGTGTAAAGTGTGCATGGACAATGAGGTGAGATGCGATCTCTTTACGGTTTCGTGTTCCATAAAATCACTCATATATCGTACTTCCCATACGTACTTCCCATTTCTCTAAAATCATAACTTTTTTTAAGAACTTTGGCTGTTTGTGGATGGGTTGAGTATGTATGTAATGGAAAAAGAGTTCCTTTTTCGCTCCAGAACACATAAGTGTATAGACGCGAGTACCGAAACTATTCGGTTCTGCATTCGTATCGTAAAAACTCACTCATAATGTATCCCAAACGCGCTGAGAAGAAAAAAGGCTGGGTACGGTGTTTCCACCTCAGGGGTGGCCGCGTGCTAAGAGCTTTCCTACTGCACCGATGGTATTTATTTTGATTAGGCCCGGTATCCACCAAAGTGGAGAAGAGAGGAGACTAGAGGATATGTGCTGTGAAGCTAGCCTATTTATAAGCCTAGCTTATTTCCACTAAAGCAGAGGGGAAATGCGTAGCGGAGAGGGAGATGTGAGCTGTAAGAGCTCGATATTAGTCAAGTGCTGTCTACGGAAGGAAGGTGTCATCTCGTTACAAAAGTTGAAATTTGAAGAAACATAATAATTATTCAATATTTAAACTATCGACGGAAACATAGATTCCGGGTAAGAAACCATATTAAGTGTCACATTGGGACGAACCAACTCTAGCATTCAAAGTCAATCGAATGAATGAATGATCGCTTTCTGGTGTGCAAGGTGTCATATCAATCCCTCATCTCCGCTCTGCAGCGTTGTTTGCTCTTTCTCGACTCAAAATTCTATAGAAAAATGAGTCATCTCCTCTTCACGATCTACTGCTACCACCAAAGCTAAGCAGAGAGAAGATTTATTTCAGTTATTCAAAACACTCTTCTTCGCTTTGGTGGATGTCGGGCCTTACACGGGGGCGGGGTGCGGCCCGCAGGCAGGGCAGGAATTAGAGGTCTGGAGGCCTCGGGGCAACTAAGGAGTGGAGGCCTTTTGGCCCCAAATTATTTTCGATTGATTTCTGTTAATATTTAATATAATCATGTTCGTACAAAGTACTGTTGGTAAAGGTAAAACGCGAAAAAAGATATGAAAAGGTAAAGTTTGTTTACTAGTACGAGTTTGAATTTTTTTTCGGAAGTCTCCATTGTGGTGGCCCCGGTTGCCCTCCCCTAAGTCCGGCCCTGGCCTCAGGTGAGCGTGGTGTTCCTGCCGTGCGGCCACCTGGTGTCGTGCGCGGGCTGCGGCGCCGCGCTGTCCGCGTGCCCGCTGTGCCGCGCCGCGGTGCGCGCCCTCGTGCGCGCCTACCTCGCCTGACCGCCGCGGGCGCACTGCCGCGGCCCGCGCGGCGCGCTCCGCTCCGTCGCACCGGTTTGCTTTTTTTTTTTGGAACAGATTAAAAAAGTTCGTGGACAGCATTGATTAGGAACCCGCCTTTTAGGATGAAAACGGATTTTTTTTAACAAGTAGTTAACACTACACAACTTTTAAGTGGTTGGCGATTCTGAGGCGGCGAAACGCAACCACCCTTTTCTTACGTTTTTCTTCACGTATAAAAATCTGTGGAGTTCTCCAGCAGTACAGCCTGTGACGCAGCGGTGCCTTAGGGCCAGTTTGATTGTGTTGTTGCTTTGGTAGAACTCCGCAACGGTTTTTGCGTGACTGCTCGTGGGTCGTCGCCCATGTCCTTAGAAGACAGGTGTAAATGTTAGGTAATTGCTACGTTAAGTACGGCAGTACTTTACACCGGGAAAGCTTCCAACCCAATAAAAAGCACACGTCTGATCATGTATGGAATACGCGTGGTTTTCTACTTCAGTGTACATTTTGGATTGTGGGGGTCTAGAACCTATTTTACTAGTATTTATTTAAATACACGAATAAATTCTCCCTCTTCCAACTTTGTACGATTAGACACTCGGAACTATTCCATGCTCTCGTTGATATTCCTGTCATTATGCATAAAAGTAAAGTGGGCAGAGCGCATGCTCTACATAGTCCACCACGCTACACCTTTGCGGATTGGCGGACTTCACATACTTTCGAAATGTTTTTCTTCGTTATTATTTCGAAAATACGTAGGTTTCCTCGCGATGTTTTCCTTCACAGTTGAGCACGTGATAAGTCAGCACTTGAAATTAACAATTTCATTGGTGTATATACTCTGTCTTTCCGTCCGAATGTAACGTCTGACGTTAAACTGGCACAGTAAGAACTGGCTTAGTGCCTTCACCGTCTACGAATGCATCGCAACTATCCAATAAGTCCATATACAGTCCACACTATCCTCCATACTATTCCGACGCATTTATTGCATACTTTGTTTCTTTCCAGAAATATACAGTCCTCATCGGAACCTAGCGATCGTTACTGTTGTAATACATCGATGGATACTTGGAATTCAAGTGTTCTAATAGTAACACTATTTCAGGAAGCAATATCGATATTTCTACCCATATAGCCTGGGTAAAATGTAATTTAATGTCTATAAAATAACGTTTACAGTCCATTGGCAAATCAGTATTGCACAACATGGCAATCTATTTTCTAACGTGCGTAACGTTCGAAAATTCCCATGATTACATAATGTTTCATCGTCTAAAAGTGCTAGTGCGTACGGAATAATTTTGTCCAATACTTAGATTATTCGACTAAATGCAATCTCGTAAATAATATCTAATATTAATTGTGAAAATAAAATAAGAATTTAACATGTAAGAGTTTAAAGTGAGAATAAAATAAGGTTTTTTTTTTCATAGAAGTGTTACCGCCAAAGTACATTCGGATAAAGATGTTATTGAATGTTCCTCAAACCAAGCCGGTTTTTAAGACATTTAGTTGAATTTTATTCTATTTAAATACTAAGTTACTAAAAATAGATAATATATTACATCGATAGAAATTAATTTGATGTTTTTAAATGGAAAACGAAAAAAAATGTTCTGAACTCTATTGCAATCTTAAGAAATCGGTTTTATATTCTAGTTGTGTTATTTTTTTTTATTTTCATGTTATCTTGCTTGTATTTGTTGTTATGACCCTTTAAAATTATGTACGGTTTTCCCATACAATTTCTACTCCCATACATAGCATAAGTTTACATATCTGCTGTATGGTTTCTCACATCGAAAATTTTTGCCGATCTCGTGAAGCAAAGCAATTTATTTTAGTGAATATTCGATGTTGAAACAAAACCGATCTAGTTTGACTTTTGAAAGAATATTCCATTAAAAGTTCAGCCTACGGGTTTTCGCATAAATTGGATACCCTTTTACTGGGCCATAATTAGAATTATCCCAATATAACTTTGAAGTTTTTAAATGTTCCCATTATATTCATCCGTTTGTGCCTATCGTTAAGAGAATCGACAATATTTAAGGCATGGCAATATCGAGAGTTTTCCTCATTCGTGATCTTGACGGGAACAATGCGTGTTATTGGAAGAACTTATACATGAGAAATAAAAAAAAAAGTCAAAAATCAATATGTTTTGATTAATTAAACGAGACAAAAAAAAATTAAAAACGTAGCTTAAAATTAAAATAATAAAAACGTACATTTTTGATTTCTACCAGTAAGTGCATATTGCATAGAAATATAAATATATAAATGTAAACAAATATGTATGCCTGATAATCTAAGTAGGTATTTTAATTTACAAAACAAAGAAACTTTTAGGCGATTCGAGGTCTAAAGTATATCATAATAATTTTCCCCGTATTTGTTTATTTCAACTTTATAAGGGGTTATTAATATGCGACCTGGGAGAGTCGTGTGCTTGCTGCTTAACTTTAGAATTATTAAAAATAATTACTTTAGTACATCGCCACTGGTGGCAAACAATGTGTTCGTAACGAAGTTACATGTGTAATGGAACGTTGTCCTTTTTTATTCGTAAGAATTTTGACGTAAATGCTCGAATGGCAAGAAAAATAGTTTATCGTATTTTTTTACCTGTAGCGAGCGGGTGTTTGCTATGCGATTTAGAAAAACTTGATCTTAATCAATTGAAGCTTTTATTGAGCAAAATGAAAAGATTTTTTTCTCAATTTTTAAACAGAGTTCTCGTGTATTGTAGTTTTAGTCTCATAAAATTATAAAAAAAAATGCTTATCAATCTTAAAGAAGTATTCACAAATGTTTTATTTGTCATCGGCTTGTTTAATAATTCTTTAATGACCATGTACAAAATCTTTTATTATTTTAGTTTTGGCATAAAAACAAATATGAATTGAATTCATTATTAGATTCAATTCGTATTTATTTATAAAAACGAATGCATTATGGCTAAGTGTGCTTTTTACGATAAAATCAACATATCTAAAAATTTGTTGCAAATAGATTTATTAAAACAGTAAATATTGACACTACCAAATTTTATAAGCTTTGCATTTCTTTTTTGATAAGGCTTTGTAAAATACTTCGCCAGATATGTATGTAAACCTTTGCTGAGCAAGGTGAAAATTAAATATTAGAATATTCGTATAACAAACGTGTATAATCATGTGTATGTGTTTAGGGTAGATTTCAAAGATCATCGCGGAAGATGTACACCGATACCATTATTTTTAAACCAGTACTTAAGGTTGGTAGTTATATTGCTCCTTTGGCATAAAACTATTATCATTTCCTGCCCTGTGTTAAGCCACTGGCATTGGAATAAAATATTTCCTTACTGTATTTGACGTGATATGTAAATACTATATCTTTAGATCATTATCAAGCAACAGAATAAAAATCTTCACTTTACAATGTAACTTGCATGACGTTTTATTCTTAAGCAATTATATTGTCATCGTTTCTTAATAATTTGAGGTATTGTGCAAACGTTCTGAGTGTCCTGTGTTTTATTCTTTCTAAAAATTGGCGTTACGTTGAAATTTTCGAAAATGGTCTATGAAATCTACCTTCAAGTTCTGGCTAGCTGATATAATAGTAAAATATTTAAATTAAACAACCTTTATTATGTTTAATAGTGGTGATGTAGTTTATTCGTTGTTTAGTTTTATTTGGTCATAGGTACAATACACCAGTTTAACTGAATTTGTTTATTTATTGACCATATATTTCTCTTACCCTATTCCTACTTCTACTCCTTTTTAATATTTACCTCTGTTGGCCTTTTATGGCTAACGCTACAGAAGTGGTAAGCTCCTTTAAAATTACAAGATTGTGTTGGGAGAGTTGGCCAACTTGCACGGAAAGTACCACTGAAGATCGATAAAGTGCTGATGCGCGTTTCGTCTGGAGTTCAGTACCAGGATACCAAGCGCCAATATTATTTACGGTTTGGTATTTGAATGTCTATGGGCGGCGGTCAAAATCGGTCGCATGCTATCTAAAATACCAATCACAACCCTCCCGTGGTGTGGCTATAGCCAACAATGTCTCATTTGACACATTATAAAAACACTCCGAGGCCAATGCTTAGTGACGTAGTGCGGCCCATCATCGGCGAGTGGTTCACAGGTACGGACGCCGTCTGGACGGGAATAGCTGGCGGCGGCGGACGCTCGGAAATAGCGCAGACGCGCTCCGACAACGCGACGCTTTCGGATACGTATTAATATGCGAAAGGCGCGTCCTCACTCCGAAAAGCTAGACATTTCGAGAGACGGATGTGCGCAGGCATTTCATATTAATTTATTTGGATCAAGACTGTTGACCCGCGCTAACCAGGCGTAGCGCGCGACAAAGCTACAAATCTAAAATGTTAAGTCGTGGTACACACGAGTTATTTTTTAGGGTTTCCGCACCTTAAAAAGTAAAAAAGGAACCCTTATAACATAACTTTGTCCGTCTGTCCGTGTGTCACCGCCAATTTTCTCAGGAACGGGGGGACCTATCAAGTTGAAATTTGTACATTAGTCGAAATTGCTGCACATTTTACTATGTTCCTACAATGCTTTTGTATTCTAAGGATAACGTACGTAATGACGCAAGGAAATAGCGATAGAGTACATTAGCCGGTTGATTCAACGCTTTGTCAACTGTTCTAGGAAGAGGGTAAATATTTGCAACTGTTTCAAAATAATCTAACAGGAAAACTAATATTAAACGATAAAACCGTTTATTTATAATTGATAAGTGATATATGTTTGTGTTATTATTTGATTATGTACCAAACTTGTTTTTCGTTGACACGACTTCCTTATAGTCTTGGTTCTTAATTTAAGTTACTAATACCATTGATTGAAAAAAAAAATTATTTACATTAATTTTAGAGAAACTTATTTATTTCTAGCTGTGCCCGCGACTTCGTCCGCGTGGAATTTAAAATAAAAAATATCTAAAATAAAAGTAGCCTAAGTTACTCCTTATGACATCAGGTATCTGCCAGTGAAAGTCATTAGCCGGAACAAACAGACAGGCAGACACACAAAAATTGTAAAAAATGTTATTTTGGTATATGCACTGTGTATACATCCAGATGCATTTAGTAAAAAGCAGTTATTTTAATATTACAAACAGACACTCCAATTTTATTTATCTGTATAGATAAAACATGTAGTTTCTTACACTAACGGCTTCATAACTATATCATTGTACTTATTTTATGAGAACGGCTTTTAAAGACGCCTTTTGCCATTCTAATAGTAAATAAGTGAGAATTATATAAACGCTGTCATTGTATCTTTTTATTTATTTTGGAAGAATTTATCTAAGTCCGTATATAATTAGTTACAAGGTCTCCAGTGTAATGGCATTGTAAATTCTTTAATTTTTTGTTTATAAAAGTCATTCTGGAGATAGTTCTGATTAATGAACGGTGACTTATTATTAACTAGCTGCTGCCCGCGACTACGTCTGCGTAGAATAGGCTGAAGGCGTAACATTCAGACAGAAAGACAGATGTACATAAAATATGTATATAAATTATAGCCTATGTCTTGTTCTGATGTATAAGCTATATTATTGTAAATTTTCATTAAAATCCATTCAGTAGTATTTGCGTGAAAGATTAACAAACATCCATCCATATATACAAACTTTCGCCTTTATAATATTAGTATTATAGTATCAAGTATTAAGTAAGTAATAAGTATAATATTATTAATGTTTTTATCCTTAAAGAAATAAGTCACTGCGTCCCCATTTTGCTTTTTCCTTTATAGGAATGAAACGTTCTTTATACAGTGAAATTTAAAATGTCATCACTAGATGTCGCTAGTAATATTGAAAGGCTTTACAAACTCGACAGGGTTTCGTTCGACTCCAGTCTAACAACTGGTAGGTAGCGGTGAGTCAGCGTGAAGGTGGAATTAATTAAACGATACTTGCCGGTTGCATAGACGCAACGTCCTTGCAAGGCTGCGTTTGCGATAGCCCCCACCACTTCGCCTCTTGCATACCTCTCCCTTCGATTGAATGGCACGAACGGTCTTTAACATTTTCAACTAACTGCATGCATAGACATCGTCTATATTCATTCAAATAACTAAAGCAGTCTTAGAATATAAATAACAAATGAATTACCTACCACGAGATAATGTAGTACATAGCTATGTAACAGGTAAAACTATTTTGTTGTAGGTGTAGACACAACTGTATACCCAAATAAAATTTCACCAGCCATCAAAATTGCTTTGTAAACTTTATCCCAGCATGTGTAACTAACAAGTTATTAACATTTTGTTTCCGGTATTTCGTTTCTATCTGCATTTGTAACCTCAATAAATTAGATAAGTGCTTCTTATAACTATGCGCGTTGTTAGCACTTTGTCCTTTGAACCGGACATGATACAGCTGTTTTGCGATGTAATCAACAAAGAAGTTATTATACTGTGAGTTAGTAACGTCCCTTATATTCCGTATAAAGCCATGCCTTACATTGTCTAGTAGATGTTTATTTGAACGTATCATCACATATCAAAAATGTGCAATTTATAATTTTCTCTCTATAGTTAAATATTATAATTTAAGGAATTTTTTAAACTTGACAAGTTTATATGCCCTTAAACCAAAGGGATCCGGTATGCATTATCTATGGTTTTGTTTCCTTTAGACTTTGAAATTTTTTTTTCCACAGTAAAGAAATTCTCAGTCCCAAACTTTAAACATTTTTATAATCCTATGGATAGATTTGACCCCGTGATATTTTTTTATGTGAGAAAGTGGCAAACGAGCTGGCGGTTCACCTGATGTTAAGTGATAACCGCCGCCCATGGACATTTGCAACACCCGTAGGGTTGCAGATGCGTTGCCACCTCTCAATAATGTGGGCCCCGGCTACCTCACTCACCAGACGAAACACGGAAGTGCAACACTTCTACTTTACGCCGGTCTTCTGCGAGGTCGTGGTACTAACCCGGATGGACCCGCCCATTCGTGCAACAGCGAACACTGTTGCGTGGTCCTACCACCATAAAATTTTAAGACTTAATCAAAGTCAAGGCGTAATGCGATGGGCAAAATGTATTCGAGCAGCGGCGAAAGCATACATTTCATATGACGCTGAGGTTACTGAATACTATAAGAATGTTTATTGTAATCGTTTCGCTTCAATACAATCGTGTTTCTTAGCCGTGAAAGGTAATCCTCAGCGGAGGGCAGTCTGACGTACGCCCATTGTGTCGCCGCTCCAAGATTATAGGTGATTATAGTGGGCGCATAGCGAATCCGCGGCGCCGTCGAGCCGTATTAAATTGTCATGGAACTGAAACCTCAAACATACGAATTATGGTGCCAGCCGAAACTCGCGTCACGTCGCTTATCATAATTTTTACAAGTCCCAATTGTGTTCCTTTATCAAATTGCATCAACAACCCCCGAGTTTGTTTGTCTATGGCCATTCTATAAGAAGTAAAATATCTAGGTACGTTTTAATGGCCTTATCATTCATCCGGTATGACTGCCGTTTGGTAACCATTAAAAAATTTCGCTGCAACTGAGTCAGCTAACAGACTTATTTAATAGAATAATTCATCACGTTAGGTTCAAATGGAACGGTTTTATAAACTTTTGGAATGGGCACAGAAAAATAGACGTTAATATCAATAAGAATCAAGTATTGCGTTATTGGAATGTTAGTGTTGCTGTCATATATCAACTTAAGAGTGCAGTTTCTTAATTATATACACAAAGATGAAGTACTGTATGTAGGCATGTATTCATTGTTTTTGTAACATACCTACCAACACAAACAATAAAAAGTTTAACTAAGATCTATAAATGTTTGGTAACCTTTTTCTGTTTTGATTAATACGAAATTTTTAATGACTAATGTAAGCGCCTGTAATTGGTCTAATGATACGGATTTTAAATCGCTTCCAATCGTATAAGTCCTAAAGTCGTTGTTTGAAAGATAGTTAATAATAATATACGTCGTTTTGTGAACGGTACATAGCTTGTTGCCGTAAACTGCATTGGAAACACAGTGGCGCCCTCTGCGCTATAGAATGAGCGTCGGCGCTGTGTGGGCGCCACTGGAATGAGTCAGAGACACTCCTTAGTCTACCCGCGTTTCGACGCACCCGCATTGCAATGTGCCCAACCATTCATCAGTGTGTGTTTTAAGCACCATATTTGTACAGACAATAGCCGTACGACTGCATTGTTACTGACTGTAGAAAACATATTAGATGGTACAGTTATTTGGATCATATGGATTGGATTACGATTGGAGATGGATTTACGCAATTTGCCTTTCTTCCGTAATTAACTCTCATGAACCGGCGTACAAGATTTTTAAATGTAGATCGCAACAAATTGCGAGGTTAATACCTTACCGGCGTCCCTTTAAGGGATAGGATTTGATGTTTGACCTTCAAATGTTGGTGCTTATATTATTTTGCTGTGGTAACGCCACCCAACAGCTTTTGTTGTTATGAGTGGGTAGGCTCGTCCGGAGAAGTACCATGGCTTCATAGAAAAACGACGTAAAGTGGAAGTATTATATTCGCGTTTTGTTTGCCGAGTGAGGTAACCGGGGCCCACTTTAATAAGGATTGGCAACGCATCCGTAACACCTCTGTTGTTGTAGATGTCCAGGGGCGACGGTAATCACTTGCCATCGACTGAACCGCCTGTTTGCTTGCTAACGTTTTGCATTAAAAATATATTTATCTTTTGGACTTGATGTATTTCTAAACATATTACTTTTTTGTTAATTTTAAGCACCTAAAATTTCCTCAGATCCAGACCCTCTATCCTGGTTAAAAAATGTTGAAAAATATTAAAAAACATAATGTTATTCAAAAAGTAAGGAGTAAATTTAGATAGGTAATATTTGCATTTAAGCAATAACTTGGCACTCAACATTCTTTCGTTGCATGCAGCCTACATTTAATAACACTTGCTTGTTATCTGTCGAGTATGACATGTTCTGTGTATAAATTATATGTCTGTAACGAAATATTAAACAGATAGTGTTCTCTGAGTAATATTGACAGAACTACGCAGATAAATAGTATTAAAAGTGGGTTTGAGGCCTTAGGCCATTCTGACAAATCACCATATAAATTGAAGCCTGATGGACCTAATCAGGTTAAATTAAACTTCAAGAACCAAGGTAATAACAGAATTTGTTATGAAATAAACTAATATTCTGTAGTCTTAATAATCTGAAATTGCAATATTACAAAAAAACCTATCAGACGTCAGTAAACTCGACAGACTGCACAAGCTGGTTGAAAGTTTAAAAACCGGTCAAGTGCGAGTCGGACTCGCGCACGAACGGTTCCGTACCATTATCTATAAAACCGGCAAAGAAATCATGTCTGTGTATGAGAGCCCTACTTAAATACATTTATATTCTGTTTTTAGCAATGGAACCCTAAAAACTATCGATTATATCGGTACAGTATGGTTTTCATAAAAAAAATATGGACAATCACTAGCAGAATGCAGATACTTTGGTTTACATCGGTGCTTGATTGAAGTGGCAAATGAAGAAGTGTTGTCATCCTTAAGGACGCGTTTACGAATTCACGCGCTTCAATTTTAGGTACAGAGGCGTACTACTACACGTGCACGGCTCATGCACACAGCGACAAGCGCGAAGCAGCGAAACTTTATGTAACTGACGCAACTTGATACTTTTATTTAATTTGAAGTCATTTATTTTTTAAGCTTACGTTAAATTTGTTTTCAACAAGTTTTTTAAACTGAATATTTTTTTATATATTTAGGTATAATTTATTAAATTTCATTCAAAAGCTCGTAGCTGTTGATAATTTGCGTTTTAATTAATTATGTATATAATTTAATTTTATGTTTTAATTAATTTTTATGAAGTAAACGAAGCTTGTTTTATACATGTTTGATTATGCGTGCGGTAGGTAGATAGCTTGATAGATAGGTAATGGTAGGGTACGTAGGAAGGTAGCTATGTAGGCAGATAATTAGGTAAAACCCGCTAACGAATTGAGTAAAATACTTTGTATGGTATTCTGAATGCATTTTGCTGATTCAATAATATTCATGCTAAATGTTAAAAAAAATAATTTTCTGTAAATGAATTGGAAATAGCATGGTGTACGAAGCCGGGCTAGTATCTAGAAACTAAAAATGAAATAATAAAACTAAGGAAACAAACTAGTAAAAATTAAAAAAACATTTTTTTAAAAAAAAACCTATCGCACTCGGCTCAGCTGGGGTAAAGCTATAGCATAGCATCTTTTATCAACTTATGCGATTATAATTATTTAATTATGCAGTATTTTTTTCTTTGATATTTATATTTATGTTAATAAATAATAATATTTTAATAATATAATAATTAATATATAATAAAACAATAAACGATAAATGGGGTCATAAACGTGAAACAAAAAGTTTGCCATATAGCTGTCGTTCGAAACTTTTGAAGTACATGTTTATTACACCTATTCATTGAAACATACAAAAAAATGACCTTTTAGACATGCCTAATCTTACAATTTGCAAGTGTGCAAATTTGTTTTGTATTACTTGTATTTTTAATTATCCATACAACTTTTCTACATGTGGTGTACTTTTGGCCAACATTTGGCTGCATGGAAATAAGAATTTATAATAAAATACCAGATAGGTTCATAGGCCTCCCGGAGTATTTAAATTTAAACGAAAATTCTAAAATCTGTACACTGTCAAATTAGACATTTAAAATATTTAATCATGTCTAAGTAATGTAGAATGTTTATATTAAAAAATTCATTACTTTGACTTGTGATTTACTTTGACTTATATTTATACTCTATTGACTCATAATTATAATCTAAATTTCAATTTTTTTTTATATTAACATATTTCACAAATATTTATACACAGAATTGATGTAGAATACGTAGCTCCATATTTTAAATAACTTTTTTACTGTATTCTTACACCTTCATGCCAATACATCAATTTCAAAGGTAAGGTCTCAAAAAAACTTACAAAACAAGCCCAAACTCGACACACATAGCTCATCTCGTCTGTTAGTTCCAGTAGCAGTTCTCGAAGTACACCTTCAGGTCACTCCATCTAGTCAGAAGGCAAGGTCTCACCATACCTAACAAAAACAAGCCCAAACTCGACACACATAGCTCATCTCGTCTGTTAGTTCCAGTAGCAGTTCTCGAAGTACACCTTCAGGTCACTCCATCAAGTCCGTAACGAAATATGAATTTTTAACCCCTACTAATTTCTAGTAAAAATATGAAAAAGTGTGAATTATAGTTTACTTTTGTCGTTCGTAGTCCGAAGTCCGAACATGATGTGTAAAGTATCAACTTTGTTACGACAAATATTTTGTATTCGTACAGCGATCTTTTCCTCACGAGCTGCTGTTTATAAGCGACATAGTGACCACTCATGACGGCAGCCGAGCGCCGACTAATATTTCTTTAAATATTTTTGTGGAATAAATCAAAAAAGTGACCAGTAAAATAACCTTTATGTCAATCACTTAAGATTCACGCGTAAGATATAAATGTGAAAGAAATAGATTTTAATCTTTGTTTTTTTCTGAAACTAATTTCAACAATTTTGATACGTAATGTAGCTACCTTTTTGAGTTGAACATGTGTGCTTACATAAAATATTTTTAAATAAAAAAAATATGTTATTAAATAAGAGAAAAATGTTCCTAAACCCAACAGGATATCGTCCATTTTGAGTGAAGTGGTCACGAAAATTATCATTTACAATATTATAAACCAAAATTTTCGATTAAAAACTATCTACCATTTGAAGATGAAGGAGGGATCTATATGTGATAATTATTACTTACATTATATTCGTTTCGTTTTGCCGCAAAATGTACCTGAAAACCCCCTATTTTTGCAGATTCCGCGAGATTTCGCAAACACGCCCTTAAGGCCCATTTACACGGTGCAAGTTTCTTGCCTGTTGTATACAATTAAATTAAAGCAATAAATGAGTTGCATGGTCTAAACAGCACATAACATTCTTGACCGTTGAACAAAACTTGCTTCAAGATTTGTTTCAAAACTTTTCTTGGTGTAAACAGCACACAATAATTTCTTAAGCAATTCTTGTATTCAATTGCATTCTCTCTTCCTTTGCAAAAATTTGTGCAATGAGTGAGGGTATTTAATCGTGGCTGTTCTTTTGAGGAAAGAAATATTGAGAAAAGGTCGTAAAAAAAGTTGGATAAAAAAGTGAATAATAATATATGGATAATAATAAATAAATCTCAACGAAATATATTTAATCGGCATAATCTAACTTGAACACTTATTATTGAGCCATTTTTTTAAAAAAACAGCCCTTTTTAAAACGTTCAACACTTGCATGAAAAATTTGTCAACGCAAATACGTGCAATACTTGAAGCAACACGCCAATAAATTGTACACGCACATACAAGCATGTGTTTAGACAAGTCAAAACTTGAAGGCAATAATCGCCTAAACATAATTGCATTGGTGTAAACAAAAGACCTTTGCAATTATTTCCTGTCAAGACTTGCATACAATAATCGCATTCAATTTTTTTTTACTATATCTGCGTGTAAACTGTTGCTTACAATTCTTGATGGTCAATTATTGCGTGCAACTTATTGCATTCAATTATTGCTCTTGTATGTACAAGAAAATGGCATCGTGTAAATGGGCCTTTAGGATAGAAATTGCACGCTTCATTATAAATTATTGCGACGAAATAAACCACGGAACCTCATCATTCACAGGCTGACAGGCGAACACAGAGGCATTACATTGGCATTTAACGTTGATACTACAACTAGTAATGAGATTTAATGGGATCAGAATTCCTTAAAAAGATGTCGAAATATAGTGTCCAACTTCCTCTAAAGAAATTACCGTATGAGGTGATTTGAAGGTAATAAGACGATTCAAACAAGAACACATCAAAACGCTAAAATGCCTCTAATATAGTGAAGCGACTACATTAATGTGTACTGAAATGAGAGGTGCTTAAGATATAAAATTAAATGGAAGAAATAAAATATATTAACTCTTTGATAAAATATTTTAAAACATATTGACAAGATTTTTGCCTTGGGCTAGTCTTTAGGACTTTGGGAGCGAAAGCAATTATTGAAGTGTGCATACTACGACTTTCACAGAGGAATGCTTGGGCATATAGAGAATGCATTGTCTGAGTACAGGGAGGTTAACATTCCTCACTATCAGTAACGGACTGGGTACCCGATAACCATGGTATCGAACGCACGCGTGCCATTCCATTGCCTGTGCACTCTGTATTATGTTATGGACGTGTATACGGCGTGATCTGGACAATAATAAGTAAAACTTTTAACATATTATAAGGTCTCAAGAAAAATAATTCCAAATGATAACCTCTTTTTTTTTAATAGCTTCTTAAAGTTCTACAGATTGCGAATGTGACGCAAATATGTCGCACTCCAGCAAGTTATAGGTTGGAAGTATTTATATGAAAAAAGGTTTTTATTTTTTTAAAGAGAATATAATTTTATTAAAGGAGATAAAAAAGGCTGAAAAAATTGATGATTCTTTGCAAGTTAAGAGTTTAAGAATTGAGTAAATTTTAAAATCATACTGGTCTTAATTAAGCAATTATCATGCAAGCAATTGTCATACTTCGTATATAAACTTAACATAAAATTACAATATACAATTAGACTAAACAACTTCGTATAAAAAAACGCGCCTTATATAGAACGATGTCAGAGAGACAGAAAACTAGTACAGATTTTTGCTACGATAATATAATACGCTAATAAAAAATAAATTAAAAATATTTTTTTCTTTTCTTTTAACTGATGTTTTCACTTTCGGTATGTAAATTATTAAAGCTATACTAAAACAGTACTTGTTGGGTAGAGTCGTGCATATGTGCTCAATGCTCATGCATGGTTCACACTGATATACCGCACGTATTTTATAAATAACGTTCAAAAACAAAGTATCTTTATTCAATATAGGCCTTAAGCTCTTATTGAATGTCAAAAAAAAAATACCACCGGTTTACTAAACTAGACCTGAACAGAGAAGAACCGGCAAGAAACTCTGCGGTCTTGTTCTTTTTGTGATGCAATTATACAAACTTATTTAGGTATAAAATCAGTTGTTTGTAGATGTCACCTATTTTGTTATAAAAGTTAATGCATCTACCAAGAAACGACTTTCTGGTTTTAGCCAGTCTAAACTTCGGTACTTCCAGAGTGTCACCGCGGCCCGACGCGATGTGGAATGTTTTTTTTGCAAATAGGTAAACGTTAAAAATTGATTATAAATTTTTAGAAACATTGTCTTCAAAAAATTTTCATGTCATATACATACTTCCATACTTGCAGTCTGCTGGAAGTTTTCTTGAATGAAAGCTATTTTGTAAGCAAGAGATTGGTAT